TTTTTATGTATAGGCATTTAACAATTAAAATGTGAACTAGTTCTATATAGCTGATCTGTGTTACAACTGAATGGGAAATGACTGTGAAATCCATTTTTTGTTTGTTTATTATTTATTAATTTCAATTTCTGTGCCACCCCATTGGTCATAGGCTCTTTGGGTGGCTCACAAGATAATAAAATGTACAGGACAACAAAATCCTCAATTCACAATAAACCAATAACAATAAAAAATCCATAAGTAAAACTTCAAAACTGAGTAAAACAAAAAGATGACAACAATAAATGAAATAAACATCCTATTAGAGCATCTGTACACCAATTAAAATGATTAATCAATATCTAACATAAAATTAATAAAATCATAAGGCAGCAGCATTTAAAAATATAAAATCTTAAAACCACCATTAAAAATCAATAATTCAACTGTCAAAATAGTAGTGGAACAAAAATGTCTTTAGTTGGTGCCTAAAAGAGAGAAGTGGTGGGTACTAACTGAACCTCCAGTGGGATTGAATTCCAAAGGGTTGGCACTATGATTGAAAAAACCCTTTTCCTTGCAGTCCCTCCCCCCCCCCCCCCCCCCCCCACACACACTTTGTTAAGGGGAGGAATGCAGAGGAGGGCTTCAGACAAAGATCACAGTGATTGGGCTGGTACATATGGAGAAAGGCACTCCTTCAGATAACATGGACCTGGGACCTTAGACCTTGGGCACCATAGTATGTACAGACTAACATTTATCACATTGCACCCAAACAATCCCAAAAACGGGGGTGTGGAAATATGGAACCTGTCTAGTTTAAATATGTAACATTTGATTTTGGCTTAAATGTAACAATGCAAACACACAAATGGAGTACAGTATTTCTTGGTTTTTGCTGACTCTTGGCCTTATTTTTGCTTATCCATCTGTTACCTATTATTTTTGACTGAACAGTACTGTTCCCAAACTGTTATACTGTTATTTGTCTTGCTATTTCTTTATTTAGTCCTTTAGTTGTTAATTTCATGACATTAACAGTGACAAGTGTAGTGATGTTGTTCTTTAATTGTATTATTTAGAACAGTCAAGATATGATGCTGTTCTGCTTCAAATAGCTGATATGCTTTGCATTTCTCAAGTGTTTTAGCCTGGGGTTCCCACTGCCAAGAAGTTGATGGGCACAGGGAACAATAATCCAGCACTTTGCAAATTAAAGTACAAGACACTTGAGTGAAGGAAGCTAGAATGGTCTAGCAAAAAGTAAGACAAGTGTGTTGTAGTTTAAAAGTATTTTTAACACTGAAGACTGGATAAGGCATGCTTTCAGAAATTATACTTTTAAAATTATTTAATGCATGAAAACCAAGGAACAAGAGTCTGTGTGCAAGGCATTGCTGAACAAGGTGCTGTCAGTGGGCCAGTTTGCATGGTAAGCAGGCCACCCTGATTTATTTAAGCTGATGTAGGCTATGGTGGGGGCAGGCAACCCTTCTGAGTATTCAGAAAGTTGTTCTGAGCTTGTTGTTCTGTATGAATCTAAGCAGTGGCAGTTGTGTGAGGTTAAACAACAAATTATAGGTCATGTCATATAAACTTGGGCAGTGGGAGTTGTGCAAAGGTTAAACAACAGACTATGGGTTAACACATGAGTTAAAACCCTTTCAGAACCCCTGCTATGCAGGTGTACATGACATAACAACCTGTCACCAGGAACTGAATAAGCAAATTATGCCTATATACACTGCAACTGTTGATAAAATGAACTGGGTCAGTGTTTGTTGAATTTATCCTGTGCATGGCACTTTGTGTATTTGCTTCTGTCTGGATCTAGGAAAAGGATGGAGTAAACAGAATTATAGGAAACTCTATTATGATATGTTTTGAGTTCCAGGTAAAGGTATAGCAAGCATGATTCACTTCAGTGTTTTTATGTACTTGAATTAATTCACACAAGTACAGGCTCTGAAGTAAACTATTTTCGGACTTGCCTCTGGAGCATAATTTTAAACCTATGAACTTTTAAACGTACTTGCTTAACTCATTGTGACTCTTCAGCATTCCATATGGTGAATTGTAAAGCAATCCATGATGGTCTATAGCTGTAGTCCAGATTTACCATGCCAATAGGATGCTATAAACTGGGCTTTACTATGGCTTTTATTTAAATAATTAAGGAGGTACCGATGTTACTTTATTACATTTGATTTTAATAAAAAAGTATAGTTTTTGAAAAAATATTTTCATTATAAAGTTGAACCTTGACCTTTGTGGATTTGATTTTTTGCGAGCTTGCTTTCAATAATTAAACTGGATTTTTTTGTTTTAGTTTTGTGGCCTACTGCAGTAAATCATCATTACTATAGAGAGAGAGGAAGCAAAAGGGGAGAAAAGGAGGGTGTCCAAAGCATGCCTACCTGTCCTGCCCATTTGGAGAGGGAAATCTCTCTGGCATTTTTCTGGTGCAAAGAGGAGGCACTGGTGAACAAGAGGTGTGGGGCAGGGAATAAGAACATGAGAATGTCATAAATGGAGAAAAGGAGCCCTGCTGGACCAGATCAGGGTCTGCGAGTGAGAGGGAGAAACAATCTAGTACATGTATGGTCAAGAGTATTAAGAGTTAAGGTTTGTCAGGACCCCGAGGGTGTGGAATGGGCTTCCACAAGAGGTCATTGAGGCCCCATCGGTGCAGGTGTTCAAGGATAGGCTGGACGTCCACATGGTGGGCATGTCGTGAGCAGAGCCGGCTGATGCCGGAGGTCAGACTAGATGGCCCGGGAGGCCCTTTCTGACTCGCTCTGTTTCTATGTTTCTATGTTTGTGGTGGGGGGAGTAAAAATATTCACATTTTTCCATTTTTGTGGGGGTCCTATGCCCCAACCACCATGGATGTGGAGGGCTGACTGTACTACCAATATTATCAATAAAAGTAATCAGTTTTAGTGTTATATCTAAAAGATCTTTGGTGGAAGCTTGGTTTTGTAAATCTAATAATGATTAGATATTAATAAACTGAATCCACAGTGACCTTTTTAAGTTCAGTTGTATTTTGAAACATTATGGTTGATTTTATTGTTTGCAGTTTTTTAAACTTATTTTTGACTTTATTTTCTTTTTGACTTCATTGTTTTTAGAGCGATGTATCATTAGGCTTGCTTAAGTCTCTTGATTTCATGGTCTCTGTGCATTACACACAGGTTTTCACACCAGCCTAAACTGAAAAAAACTTCTAAAGCTAAGCAGATGGTAGGAGTCCCTCCCCTTCCTGTTCCCAGAATGACCCCTCTGATGGGTATGACCTGTGCCTCTTCTGCCTTGGCAAGGGGCCCATGATGGAGGACTGTATCATATGCCAGGCCTTCACCAAGCATACCCACAAGCTATGGGCCTTTTGCCTAAAGGCCATCCTGTGCAAATAGACACTTCAGGTGTCTGACTCTTCAAGGGGTGCAGTTGATCATCCCTCCACATCTGCGCTGAGGGCCCTCCCAGTGAAACCGTGAGGGAGGCATCCCGTGGGCTCCCATACCACCAAGAGGGCTGCAGAACATGCAACAAAGATGGTGGGTTTCACTGCACCAAAACACAAACACTGCAAAGGCCTTGTCAGGCTGGCCACTCCCACTGGTGGGTCCCTGGAGTCCACTGGTCACCCTGGAGCCCCTGGAGGAGCCATTCACCAAGTCAAGGGACTGAGAACCTTGTACATTCCAAGCTACCGACACTGCCCACGTCCCCCAGAATTATTCACTGACTCTGCCATCCAGTACGGGCTCAGGAAGGACGCTGCCCAACAGCTTCGCACAGCGGATCTACACTGCCTTGGCCCTTGGTCTACATGTCTGCAACTACACAGTCACCATGGCCACCCAGACACCATGGGAGGACAGAGAATTGGAAGATCTCCCCAGTCAGAAAGCTAAGGAAGTGTCCATAGTTCTGATGTACTGTAATACAGAAGTAGGCATCCTTTAGGTCAAGTGAGGTGATCAAGTCTCCCAGCTGCAGTAGTGGTAGGATGCTTGGCAAGGAAACCATTATGAATTTTTTGGCCTGGTACAACTTGGTCTCGGTCAGGGCCACCAGCAGCCAGTTGTCAAGGCAGAGGAAGACATGGATTTCCTGGAGCCATGGGTGTGCGCATACCACAGCCATGCATTTTGTGAAGATCCATGGCACCATCAGCCTGGCCTATGAAGTTGCTGGCCTCCGGTTCACCTTGTGACCCAGGGACCACTTCACTTGAGCCTTAGCCACTTCCACTGCTCTCCTTCTCTGGGACATCTGCACAGTTGTCACGTGGTTGACCCCTCAACCTTCATCAAGCACTATTGAATGGACATTCAAGCGAAAGCAGACTGCACACATGGCAGGGTTGTCCTTTCATCTGTCCTCCAATAATGACAGCTCCCACCATCCCCTGTGAGGTAAGCTAGCCAGTTGCCCATATGTGTGATGCACAGAGACCATGAAGAAGAAAGGCAGGTTGCTTACATGTGACTGCATTTTTAAAGTGGTCATTTGTGCATTCACCGAACCCCCCTTCTGACTTCACTTGCTGTCATCCTTAGTGAGCAACAGGTCCTTTCTTCATCTACCTGCAGACATTCAGGGCCTGGAAGTGGGGGAGGGCAATCCCTCTCCTTCCTCTTGGTCACAAGACTCTTGGTAGTCTCCATAGGAACCAAGGGGACAGGCAAGACCCCTTCCCATGGTCTCTTGGAAACAGAAAGGGGAGGGGCTTCCACCCTCTACTTGAAAACTAAGCTTTAGCAGCTTTTCGCAGTTTAGGCTCCACACTGGTGCAAAAGCCCATATGTGTAAATGCACAGATGAGCACTCGGAGAATGACATTTATAGGTAAGCAATATGCCTTTATTGTGCTGAACAGTGTGTTCCAGATCTGGATCTTATAGGTGTGAACATTTTAATAGAAGTTAGCAATGTATGAATGTCCCCATTGCTCTCTTAACTATTTGATTTGATGTGAACTTAATTTTGTCTGTCTTTTTTTTAAGGCTACAGCAAGGAATGCAAAAAATGGATAATCCTGCTATAAAAAGAGTTTTAAATGATATTATCAAATCACCTGAAGATAAACGAGAATATCGTGGGCTAGAACTGGCAAATGGCATCAAGGCAATGCTTATCAGTGACCCCACTACAGACAAGTCTTCAGCAGCACTTGACGTACATATAGGTATTTAATCACCATCTTATATGTGGTTAACTTTCTTTGATGTTGTAAATTAACCCAGAACCAAGACTTTCCAAAAGGTTATACAGTCATCTGTATAAGCCTTAGGATGTACTCCTAAGATTGCTTGCTAGTTTGGAAGATTCACTAATGTCTTTTCTGCATATGGGTCATAAAATTTTAGTTTACTATCAGAGGTAAACTAACCAGACATATATGCTTTATGGTGGACAGGATTGAAGATGGGACATTAAGACCAATGGACTGGAATATGCAGAATTGCAGACATCTCTCATTTATATTAAAAATGTGTAGATGTAATGCTTCTAAGCAGTATTCAACAAACTGATTTTTCTGTATATTTTCAGTGAAATACTATATATGTCTACCCAGAATAAAGTCCCACTGAAAATGCTTTCAGAAAAGTGTACGTAGGATTGTAGTTTTAGTCAGGTTAGTCAGGCTGGTGTTAGTACAGATAGAGTCCAGGTTATGGAAAAATTCTGTTGCTGAGACTATCCTTAAGTCAAATTTGTACGCTAGTCTGATCACATAAGTAAGCCAAATGTTTTTACCAAAACATTTGCCAAATGTTGCCAAACATTTGCCAAAACATTAAAATGTTTTGCCAAATGTTATGCATATAAACACTTAAAAACACTTCTATATTCATATTCACTAAGAACATCTCAATACAGCAGTGTAATAACAATAATAATACAATAATAATAAAGTAGCTACAGGTACCGAAGAGAGAAAAAAAAAGAGAATTGGTATGTATGTTTGCAGCTGTATACCATAGAAAAAATGTTGTAACTTGCCTCTAATGCCTGGCTTAAAGTATGTTTGAACTTCATTGTCTGTCTGTACTTAATTTTAATGCAAGCCCAATAGAAAATTACTTGGTTCTTTAGGTAACTTACCAGTCCCTCATTATTTTCCAAAGTTTTGTGATAATGGGCTGCTAGGACAATATAGCCTGCTTGTTCAAAATAATGGATAATTCAAAATGCTTTAATCCATGGTGAATTTATCTTAATGGGTCTGTGTACAGGAGCAGAATTGGCTGAGCATTTGTTGAGCTTCCAATTCCATTCTTTATGGAGCTATGTGGAAGAAGGGCCAAATGTGTTGACTGAGGTGTTCAAGAGCTCATTGGAGAAGGTGAAAAAAATTTGGTCTAAGGAATTAGGCTTCCATGATTGTCTCTAGGGATCTACATGGCCACTGATGATGTGTTGCCAAACACGTCACATAGTTCCCTAGAGATATTCATGGCTTTTTGCTGGAGATATTCATATAAGGTTTATGGCACCCCATGCATTTGTAAGTATGAGTTGTTGGTAACCCAGACATTTGTAACCTGGGGACTACTGGTACTTAAATTTGAAATGGAAGTAGCAATGTAAGTTCCTTTGTGGCTATTTATGGTCTTAGGAAGCCTTCAGCTTTTAAGAAAGAACAGTATGCAAATAATTTTATCTGTTCCCACCTTTCTAGATGTATGCTTACAATATTCACTGGAGAATATAGTGTAATACTGAAGTATTGAGAATTAGAATATCAGATTAGGGGCAGCAAACTTCTTGAAAATGTTTGTCATATCTAGATAGGTCAAAGATAATGTATCTGCATGTTGCAGTGGATACAAATTTGGAAAATTTCTTAATTTCTACATAGATGTTCCATGCATCTTTGTTCAAAGTTGTTAATTATGTTCATCCAAACCATGATGAATTTTGTCTTGGTGTAAAAGCAGCAAATAATAGAATTTTGCATATATCATCTTGTTTTGATTGCTTTATACCTCCAGTTTTTAAACTAAATTTTTAATACATTGCATTTAATCCAGTTGTATCTGCTGTAATGAAACAGTATCATGGACTGGGTAGTATAAAAATGTAGTAAACAAATAAATACAAATATGCACTTTGTTGTAGGGTGACTTGTTCCATTTTTTTTTCTTTAAGGGTCTTTATCTGATCCTCCAAATATTGCTGGGTTAAGTCATTTTTGTGAACATATGCTGTTTTTGGGAACTGAGAAGTATCCAAAAGAAAATGAATATAGCCAGTTTCTCAGTGAACATGCAGGCAGTTCAAATGCTTTTACCAGTGGAGAGAACACCAACTATTACTTTGATGTGTCACATGAACATTTGGAAGGTGCCCTGGACAGGTAAATATATTTATTAATCATTAAGTATATTTGTCAACTTCAATGAATACTATTAACATTAAAGCCCTACCATCCAGTAAGATTTCTTCGTAGTGGGTTGGTTAACACAGTTACAGAGTGGTTAACAAGCCATAGTGCTGGTTGCATACTCTCTGGATTTACATAATTACATAACAAACCTCTCAGAACCCATAAGCTGTAGTAGGGTGGTAGGGTAGTGTGTTACCCACCCAAATGAGGAACCCTGGTAGCTTCATACAGCATTAGAAATCATACTTGTAAGGGTAATCATGCAAATCTGTCTGATATGCATGAATATTTAACAAGCCTACTTATTAACCACTCTGCAGTTGTGTGAGTCACACATCTGCAGGCAGCCAGTCTGAATATTTGGGTTGGACCTGCAGCTTACATTGTACAAACCTAGCAAGGGTGGGTTCTTGGTGTGATGGACAAATACCCATGAATATTAACTATTAGCTATTAATTATTAACCATTCTGACAAGCCACTTTCAACACATTGTCATGATACAACAAACTGAGGCTTGGGCATGAATAGGCAATTTGATACCCACGGATGCAGCATCTCATCATGGCTTATTTGAGAGATACAGGCCACAATAACAGTGTGAATCCAGTAAATGTTTATTATTTTTTATTTTTCATAATAATGAAATGAAAGTGAATGTAAATGCTGACAACCAACCAACCCCTTAACATCTTGGGTATATTATCACTTAAATGAAAGACTTTATGGAATGAATACTTCTACTAAAAGTGAGAAGCCACTCGTCGGGAGTATGATGTGCTCTCATAGGTCTTATTTCAAGTTTTATTGTTACCTTGCATAGTTATAAAAGTGTTACATAGGAATCATAAGTTATACTCTCATACCATAAATGCATCCTACATTCACTCTTAACATAATTTACACATTTATCAACTGATCCTTCAAATGGTTCGCTTCAGGTTGTAATTTTGTATTTGGTGAAATGAGATATATTCAGTGATGCATATTTTGATGAATTCACTTCCTTTTAGCTTTGTTAAGCCTATTTAGTGGGTTTTGAACAATTTCTTGAAATTGTAATTAGGAGTTCAACTCTGAACTTTATTTTCAAATAAAGAAAAAGGGTTTTCTTTATTAATTTGTTTAGCAAAGACATTGTTTAGCAAAGACATCTCTAGATTTTTTTTAGTGTTAATGGAAGTACATTTGTGGGAGGCTCAAGGAAAAAAATGTTTTAGGATGAGGGTTCTGGACAGAGTTCACAAGGAACAGGACCACTGTTTATCCATAGCTGGCTTGGAAGGTAGGAAATCCCTTACTTTTTTTTCATGGTCTGTCTCCCATTTATACACAATTTACTTCGTTGTTATGTGAGCAAGCAATTTGGCACATGGAAGATGAGTTCTTATGAACTTGCATGGTCAAGCAACCAAATCCTAATTAGGAAAGATCTATTTTGCACCAGATAAAGGAATTTAAAATGAGGTGGGAGTCATTCCAGTAGTTTCACCTGGGATAGGATTCATTTTTTGAGGGCAGTTTCAATACATAAAGTGTCTTCTGAATGTATGTTTTTCCTGACACATGGTAAATATTTTGTACATGTCATAGAATCTCATGAGCAATAGAAAAGATGAGCAGTTAAGGACTTCCTGGTTTATGGTGAATATTTTTAATGTGCTAAAGCTCAGGTGAGGAATGGAGAAGATAAGATAAAATGTAGTTACTGAACAGTAGTGGGAAGTCATTCAAGAAATAGTACTTTTATCTGCAAGTACTATCCATGATATCCTTTTGTATCATGACCAAGTCCAAGGAGGATTTATTAATAAGTTATTGCACAAACTATCATTAGATCTGATTTTGGGATGATTCAAAGGATTGTAGTAGCTAATTCATAACAGATTTCAGCAAAAAAATAGTTCTGTCCGAAGTATTAAGTAAGGCTCTAATAGTAACTAGCTTATGCCAAAATTGTGTGATGCAGTTGATAATAGTCTCCTCTCAGTATAACAAACTGAAATGCAACAGCCACTTGTAGATTTCCAGCAGTGAGGCTCCATGATACATCCCAGCACTAGGACTCCAGGCAAATACATTGTATAAAAATATGAACATCTGTCCACAGACTCAAAGACCAAAAACTAAGACCTGGTGGGCAAAACCCAACCTGACCTGGTGAAAAAGTATGATAGCATTTAAAATGAATTTAATATTTTCAGTTTTTTGTAAATGTAGTTATATATTAGTACATTCATTTGGAAAATATCAAACTTTACTGTCACTGCAGGTTTGCCCAGTTTTTCTTGTGTCCTCTGTTTGATGAAAGCTGCAAAGATAGAGAAGTGAATGCTGTTGATTCTGAGCATGAAAAGAATTTAATGAATGATGCTTGGAGACTATTTCAGCTTGAGAAGGCTACTGGAAATCCTAATCATCCTTTCAGCAAGTTTGGAACAGGTGTGGAACAATGTAATTTTCTATTAAACCAATTATGTTCTACTTTGGGTGGGACTATCTCTACACAGATTGATCCAATTGTTCTGTGTAAGAAAAAGAGCATGTTAAAAATAAAACAGCACATGTATAAGGCGATGCAGGCTTTACATTTTTCATCATTACTGTGATTCATTTTTCAAAGTAACTGAGCATGTGATACATCTGTGCAAATCACTGTGGACAAGTTATACAGTGGTTGGAATGTATTTTAAACTACTCAGTAATAACATTCACTGCATAATTATTTTGTTAGTACAAGTTAAGCAATTCAGGTAAATAAAGCTACTTTTTTTTTTTTTTCGATTTATATCTGCCTTTTTCCTACAAAGGGCTCAAGGCAGCTTACATCATTCTCCTCCTCCATCTTATCCCCACAACAACAACCCTGTGAGGTAGGTTGGGCTGAGAGTCTGTGACTGGCCCAAAGTCACCCAGTTGGCTCCATGGCCGAGTGGGGACTCGAACCCAGATCGCCTGAGTCCCAGTCCCACGCTCTTAACCACTACACCACACTTTGATAATAAGCATGATTAAAGGCTATGATTAAGGCCAAATTTTTGTTTCTAAATAAGGTGGAACAAAAGTGTAGGTAATTACTGATGTCAGAAACATGTTTTTGGCAGTGTGCTTGATAATAGAAATGTTTAAGTACCTCTTAAAAGTTTCAGTGGAATCCTATACACATTTACAGGAAGTAAGCCCAATTGAGTTCAGTGGGACTTATTCCAATGTAAATCTGAGTGAAGGCCTGTAGCCTTAAGCTTTTAGAAAAGGTTGGGTTATATTATAATAAAAGTTGCCTTATTTGTTCCTTAAGCTGATGAGTGTGAAAAGCATGTAGTAATATTGAAATAGAGCCTAATAACCCTTAAAGCTGGTGCTAAAGAGAATGATAGCAACCTTGTGACCAGCTGCATTTGTTTATTTTACAAATTGCCTGTTCAGTGAAAGCAAATACTTTCAAAGCATTGCATAATACACTTTCATAACAAAAGAAGACCAAACCCTGTAAAAACAATCGCTGACACAGCGTTATTAATAGCAGAGAGTCTGTATGGTGGTTAATTCTGAAAAGCAAGCTAAGGAGGGTAACTTTTTGTTCACAATGTAGCTTCAAAGGAGAGTGACCCCAGTTGATAGGCTGCAGCACAATGTTACAGAGCTCTGGAGCAGTAACTGAGTGGATCCTGTAGAAACCAAGCCTGGTAATTTCAGGGAAGTTCAAAAGAGAGCAAATTCTCTAGAGTCCAAATTGTTAAAACTTTAGAGGTCGAGGCTGGGACCTTGAATTCAGGTCAGACATACTCTAGTAACATAGAAACAGAGCAAGTCAGAAGGGGTCTCCCGGGCCATCTAGTCTGACCCCCGGCTCCAGCCAGCTCTGCTCACGACATGCCCACCATGTGGACGTCCAGTCTATCCTTGAACACCCGCACCGATGGGGCCTCAATGACCTCTCGTGGAAGCCCATTCCACACCCTCGGGGTCCTGACTGTCAGGAAGTGCTTCCTGGCATCCAAATGGAACCTTGGCTCCCGGAGCTTCACTCCATTGGAGCATGTCCTGCCCTCCTCTGCAGGGGAGAACAGGTCTCTACCCACCTCCCCACGGAACAACTGTACTCCCTACGGAACTATCCATGTTTTAAATGGTGGTAGCCAAATTACTGGAGTAAGGATCAAAGCAAAAACAATTCAGGTGTATTTTTAAACCACTTATGTGAGCATTAGAAACTTATGAAATAATGGTTGTTACCTGTCAGCTATCTTATTTGGACAGGTATCTTTATTTTCACAATAAAGTTCTCAGAAATAAGAACTAAAAGTTGGATTTTAAAAAATACAGCAGCAGGTATGGGTGCTACAGTGGTTATTCATAATGGAAGTGTTGGTAGAATGTTCTACATTCATAAACAGTTTAATAAGACTGTTTTTATTTATCCTTAATGATTTTTCTTATTTGGATTTGCTTATTGGTAAATTGAGTTGATAGTTCTGCCCAATTCCATTTTTATTATTTTAGTACATTATCTCCAACTCACTGATTTCATGGTTTCTTGCTTTAAGCTGGCTTTTGTTACTATATTTTGTCAGGTCAGAATGCTGTGTTTTAATTTTACTCTGCATTGAAGTAGCATTTGAGTCAGCATGTTGGAAATAGACATTCAAGCTTTGATGTTTCTTTTTCAATATGAGAAAATAACAAAGAATTGTCAGCACTAATTGTAACAAGACTCAATTCTACTTGGATCTGTTTTAAACATTATAAAAAAAACAAACCATAAAGCTTGGCCTGGCTGTAGTCATAAAACTTGAACGCTCAACATTAGGTGATATTTTTAAAAATATGGCAAAACAGGGTTGCAAACAATAGCTTGATTCTGGTTGATAGGGAGAATTTCAAACACAGTTTTGCCATACAAGCACCATAGGAAGACTGGCTTAAAAACCAAGAAGTCTTCTTTGAAGCTAAGGGAGAAAGCATTCATAGTAATGGCTAATTTTGAGTATTTCTGATGAACCAGGAATTCTTAGACTGAGTTAGGTGGATGATTCCTTCTTGTTTATTTCTTTCTTAGTTTGCCAGTTTCTAATTGACAACGAATGTAGAGACCACTGTAGGACATCTATCCAACTCTTTCCATCCTCAGCTTCTATGGCTGCAAAATCATTCCCAAATCTGCTTTCTACATAAGCCCATATATCTACTAGACATGCCTGTGAATATGAGAATGTAATCTGTGGGAGTAATCCATTAGGTGATAGGCATAATCCAAATTATATAAATAACATAGTTGTATTGATGTTCTGTGCATCTTCATATTGACTGGGCTCACACGCCTCAGTAACCCCGTAGGTAACTAGCCACAGTGGGTTGTTGTCATCTGAACTTAGACGACTTCCCTCAGTGTGACTTATTTTGGGAAAAAAGCCACCTTGACAACACATGGCTTGCACTGTTATTCAACCCATGAAGGGTTGTCACATTGTCTAAACCCAGAAAAAAAAACCATTGTGGGAGTGGCTAGCAAGCCAACCAGCAATATCAGCACTGAACAGGGGTTGGTCTTCTGGCCCCTTCCAACTGTACTATTCTATGATTCTCTGAAAAATCCCTTGCCATTCTTTGTGATCTTGTCCATGCTGCCAGTCCTACCACTCAAGTGTTACTTTGCCTTTGCAGCAACTGTTGCTGGTTCACCACCTTTTTTCTTCACCACAGAAAAAATGTGTGGAAATGTCTTATGGGGTGTGGGAGCATTCTTTTCAAAGGTGTGGAAGCACACATCTATTTAATAAGTAGGGTCTTGTCTGGTTGAAGAATCCCTGCTAAGGTTCAGCTGTCAAAGGGAACAAAGTGCACTTAGTAACAGGAATTGGCAAAGTGAAACTGTTGTTATTGCATTACATTTATATCCCTTCTTTCCTTTTGCAAAGAAGCCAAAGAAGTTTAGGCAACAGAGTGCCAGGGCCAACCCAAATCATTCTGCTGTCTGAGGTGAAGGATAGTATGGCATCTACCTTGTATAAAAGCCAAGTAGATTGGTGGTTGCATTTTACTTTAACACTTGTGATGATGGCATAGTGTTCTCAGCTATACCTAAGGATAGCAGAATATTTTCGAAAGTGGAGGGTAGGCCAAAAGCACTCCTTGTGCCTCAGTATCTGCTTTCTGTTAACGCCACCTCACTTTGTCTAATATTTATTACATTTGTATTGCCACTGAATAGCCCATAGGCTCTCTGAGAACCATCACAGATGGTTAATAGTAGAGCTGGTCTTGCTGCCCTTCTATTTCATGACTATTTTGTGAGACAGCTTATATTTTATTCTTGTATTATAGGAAACAAATTCACTTTGGAAACTAGACCAAACCAAGAAGGAATAGATGTAAGACAAGAACTATTGAAGTTTCACTCTACTTTTTATTCATCAAATTTAATGGCTGTCTGTGTCCTTGGACGAGGTAAGACTGTCAGTTTATAGGCACACCTTTAAGTAAAAATTTTAATTGACATTTTGTATGGAATAGTACTGCATTTTATTCTGTAAAGTAAGCTGTATTCTCAAATATGAAAACAAAGTTTGAGTCATAAATGGAACTCATACCTTATACATCAACCTTCCAGAACCAGGTGACTTTCAGAGGCATTTGAACTATAACTCCCAGAATTCCCATACAGCAGGGCCATTGACTGGGAATTCTGGATGTTGCAGTCCAAACGTGTCTAGCAGGCACTAGGTTGGGGAAGGCTGTTATAAATAAATCAAGATAAAATACAAAATTAAAAACATTAAAATATTAAGACTGACAGTCAAAGCAGTGTAGGTAGTATTCTGTACATGCAGAAGCCTTATCGTTGAACTTTATGCCTTACGGATCAGGAATGGGCTACAAAATAATGTGCTGTACCCCCCCCCCCCCCCATTCAAAATCTCTTATCTCTATTACCATGGTTCATTGTTAGGTAAGCTTGCTACAAATTCTGGCTAAAGTCATTCAGAACCCCAGTTGACTAAACCAGCGTATAGAAATACAGGAGGAATATATATGTGAGCATGGCAGTTTGTGTATCTATTCCAGCACTTATATTTCTGCCTGTGACTTGATAAGGTGATTTTAAGCTGGAGAGAGTGAGAGTCTCCAGGTTTGTTCTGGAAGTGAAAGACTTGGCATATGATGCAGACATTGGAACACTGAAAATATGAGATTTTGTATAAATATGATTTTATTAATATTTGAACATATGCAAGATATACATGTATTATGTGAGATATGTTCGAAGGAGAATTGGTATATAAATATTGCTGATTAATAAATTTTCTAGAAATCCTAAGCATGACTGAGCAGGACTTTAGTGGCTGGCATTTCCTGGCTGGTTTAATTCTAGACATATAATTTGTGTTTTGAAGTATGTCTAAAAAGACGTTCCATTTTTAAGGTATGTGATTATTCTTAAAGCTCTGATAAATTAGGGTTTGCTTTTTAAGGAGTAGTGAAGGAAAAGACAGAACCTCTTGGCCTTGAGTAACTCCGTGTCCTGCCCTGTCCTGTACAGAATCTCTGGATGAGCTGACCAATTTAATAGTGAAGCTTTTCTCTGAAGTAGAGAACAAAAATGTTCCATTACCAATATTCCCTGAACATCCTTTCCAGGAAGAACATCTCCAGGTAGGTTTCAAACCTTGTGATAGCACCATTATATAAAAATGGAGACTTGTAAGTTTTTATTTTCTATTTGTATATATTAATAATTTTTAAATTTGGTTTTAAAACTTGTAAACTTTTTATGATGTTTTAATATACTGGATCTTGTATTGTTATTTTTAATGTGCTGTTGCGAACTGCCCAGAGAGCATCAGCTGTTGGATGGTATAGAAAGTAAATAAATTAATTAAATAATCAGTATGGTGTATGTGAAATATATGGGTGGAAGTTGTTATGTACTGGCATAACCAGTTATTTCATGCAATTGTAATAATTGTTCTGATAGGAAATGCTTTCAAACAACATTAATATTATGTTAAGCTGTATGTGTAATGAAGTATTTCTGGGTATATGTGGGTAGTGAAACACTATATAGGCAAAATGTTGGATTGAAGATAAATAATACTTAACTTTTTTAATATTACAGCAACTTTACCAAGTGGTACCTATTAAGGACATTAGAAATCTTTATGTCACATTTCCAATACCAGATCTTCAGAAGTACTATAAATCAAACCCTGGCCATTATCTTGGTCATCTTATTGGACATGAAGGTCCAGGAAGTCTTTTATCAGAACTGAAAGCTAAAGGTAAGATTTACAATGACTTGTTACTGAAACATTTAAATATATTACGAAGGTTTGCTTTGGGACAAATGACTTCACTGCTCCGTCCCTGAAAATAAGAGGGATTCTTTCTGTACAAGCCCACTCAAACCCACATAGGCTATGAAAGATTTGGAAGAAGCATATGGGGAAAGATGGCACTGGAAGAGAATCCATAGCAGGAAGGGCTCTGTTAAACTTGCAAACATAGAAAGAGCAGGAAATCTGAAGGGATAAAATCAAGACAAAGTCTAAGAGAGCGTCAAGCCCAGTGGGCTGAGGAGTTCAAAGAAAAGGAAGAGTTAAAAGGAAGAAAATATGAATTTACTTATTCACAAACTCCCCTTCTGAAGGCACAGAGACAGAATGGGGTTTTTTCCCCCAATGAAATGCCTTTCTTTTGGTACATACCATGGAGAAGAGGCCAAAGAAAATTATATAAAAATCTTGTTGTGGCAGTTCCATGTAATACTTGGTTGTATTTTCTATGTTGGCTCTGGCCTCTTGGCAGAGTAGCAGAGCAGCAGAGGCACGGGCTGGGAGAGAGTGCTGAGTGGCCAGGGGACTAGCGAAGGCAAGGTAGGAGCTGGGCAGGGGAGCAGAGGGCCAGGAGCAGCGGAGAGGAAGGGGGCGGGGCCTGAGAGGCTAGAGTGGCCAGGAGGAAGCACGGGGCCACTGGCCTGAGGGACAGATAAGGCTGCACTCAGCCACTGCCAGCCCTTTTGGCTCTGGTCTCTTGGCATCGTCCTTTGACTGCGTCCCTTAGCTGCAGCCTGGGCTGTCCGGGGACTCCCTTCCCTGGGACACAGAGCTTGCTTTGTTTGTTTGTTTGTTCTTGTGCTGTGCTTTGCTTTGTTTTTCCTCCAATTTAAATTTAAGTTTATTTTATCCTTGTGTGTGTGTGCGAGTGGGTTTTTGTCTGGGAGAACTGGGCAAGTGAGAGGAACTGCAGGACAAACAAGGCAGGGGACCAAGGGAAGGTCTCGGAAGGGATACCGATGGCAGACCAGGAGATGGCCTTGGCGGGAATCATGGGTGTTGCTGTCCGCTGCGACGGCTGCGACATGTTCACCCTTCTCCCCCAGGAGAGGCAGGGTTGCACTTGCCCTCGGTGCAAGATGGTGACCCTGCTAGAAGAGCAGCCCCCCTTTGTACAGAGGGTTGAGGGAGAGGCCAGGGGAGGAGCAGCTGTGGAGACATGGAGGTATGTCACCCACAGGAGAAGGAAGCCAGCACGGCCTCCTCCTCTTCCTGGCACCAATCTGGAGCTGGGAAACAGGTTCTCTCCACTTGGGGAGGCTGGGGCTGATGAGGCCTCAGGGGACCAGCAGGACCCCCAGCCTGGGATGACAGGTGGCAAGGGGGCCGCTGCAGGAGAGGCGAGGGCCAGGGCACGGCCGCCCACCACCACCAGGAAGACACAGCGGCGGGTGATTGTTGTTGGGGACTCCCTGCTGAGGGGTACTGAGGCGGCGGTGTGCCGCCCCAACCTGGAGAGAAGGGAGGTTTGCTGCCTGCCAGGTGCACGCGTCCGGCATGTGAAGGACAGAGTGGAGCGTCTTGTTGACTCCGGGGGGTCACCAGCTGCTCCTGGTGATCCATGTGGGCATAAACGACGTGGCAGGCAGGGTGTGGTTGGGATCACCAGGGACTTCGAGGCCTTGCGGAAGAAACTCAGGGAGCTAAAGGTCCAAGTGGCCTTCTCATCGATCTTACCGGTCTGGGGATTTGGGCCAGGAAGGGTCTCCGAGTTGAACAACTGGCTTAGGGTGTGGTACCAGAAGGAACGCTTCGGGTTCCTTGACGACGGCACTCGGTTTCTTGCCAATGGACTTCTGACAAGGGACGGGTTACACCTCACGAGGATGGGAAAAAGTCCTTTGGAGATGCTCTAGTGAGCTTCGTCCAGAAGACTTTAAACTGAGCCGGGGGGGTGGGGTTCAGGCCCCCCAGTAACATGACTGCACTGGACAAGTGTGGGCAGAGGGCTCTGGGAGCAGGGTTTTGGAGGTACTGCAGGGACTGACAGGACTTCTACAGAGAGGGGCCAGGTATCAGGGAGGATGGGAGGAAGGAGGAGGCTGGGAACTCCAAGAAAAGGAAGCGATGGGAAGGAGTTGAGGTGCATGTACACCAATGCTAGGAGCATGGGTAATAAGCAGGAAGAGCTTGAAGCTCTCCTGGGAATAGGAGGGTATGATCTGGTGGGAATCACAGAAACTTGGTGGGATGAAAGGCAAGTCTGGAATGTGAACATAGAAGGGTATCACCTTTTTAGAAAGGACAGGAAGGGAAAGAGAGGTGGGGGCGTGGCTTTATACGTCAGGGAAGGGATAGGATGCAGTGAGATAGAATGCAGCACAGATGGGGATTCGGTAGAGGCAGTCTGGGTGAAACTTAGGGGTTTTGACAGGGAAAGAGACCTGACAGTGGGGGTATGTTATCGCCCTCCAGGTCAACTTGAGACCCTGGATGATGTCCTGACAGGCCAGATTCTAAGGATACCTCAGGGGAGAGACACAGTAATTGTGGGAGATTTCAATCTCCCGGATATTAGTTGGGAGACTCACTCGGGGGTGACCGCCAGGTCACGTCGCTTCCTAGAAGCTATAGAGGGAGGGTTTTTCACACAGAGAGTCCGAGAGGCGACGAGGGGGGAAACATCCTTGACTTGGTCTTGACCAATAGAGAGGAGCTGATAGATGAAGTACAGATTAGGGGAGCTCTGGATGTGAGTGATCACTCCATCCTTTGCTTTGAGATCAGGGGACTGGGGACATGTAGCAGGTCGAGCACTAGAAGCTGGCACTTCAAGAGGGCCAACTTTGGCCAACTGAAGGCCAGACTGGGGAAAGTCTCCTGGGATAGGTTACTGGAAGGTAAGCGAGTTGAGGAGGGGTGGATGGCACTCGAAAGGGAGTGCTTTTGGAGGTTTTGGAGGCGCAAGCCTTGACGATACCTCTAGTCAGTAAGGTGGGGAGGCGGAGGAGAGTGCCACCATGGATGTGAAAGGAGGTGGTTAGAGGAATTAGATGAAAGAGGAACCTCCGTAGGAAATGGGTACTGGGGCAAATAGACAAAAGGGTATACCGGGAGAAGGAGGCCCGTTGCAGAAGGATTCTTCGCAAGGCTAAGGCTGATTACGAGCTGAGACTTGCCAAGAATATCAAGAGCAACAAAAAGGGCTTCTTTCAGCATGTAAATTGGAAGAGGAAGGGGAGACAAGTGGTGGGACCACTAAATAAGGAGGAAGGAGATCCAGTGACTGATATGAGGGAACAGGCACAGATGCTAAATGACTATTTTGCCTCTGTGTTCTCCCCAAAGCAGGACGGGGGATATCCGCATAGGAGATTAGATGAGGCTGGGGACTTAGGGGAACAGATTAGAGTCACCCCCCCCTTGAAGTCGAGGGGCTTCTCAGGGCATTGGACATTACAAAGGCGCCAGGCCCTGACGGGTTACACCTGAGAATACTTAGAGAGTTGGCAGAGGTTCTCTCACGCCCGCTGGCCTCCATTTTTGAGACCTCGTGGAGAACGGGTGAAGTTCCAGGGGACTGGAGGGTGGCATCAGTGGTCCCAAGTTTCAAAAAGGGTAGTCGAAGGGACATGGGGAATTACAGACATGTTAGCCTTACGTCCATTGTAGGAAAAAGAATGGAAGGGCTCATAATAGAGAGAGATCTAGTGATGCTAGATAGGGAAGGGAGGCTGACAGCGACACAACACGGTTTCCGCAAAAACAGGTCCTGCGAGACAAACCTTGTGGAATTTTATGACAAGGTTTCGAGATGGCTAGATGGAGGGGATGCAGTGAATGTGGTACACTTGGATTTCAGCAAGGCCTTTGACAGAGTACCCCATGATATCCTGGAGGAGAAACTGAGGAGTTTTGAGATACACCAAAGCACTGTCCGGTGGATTAGGGCATGGTTGACTGACCAAAAGCAGAAGGTAACCACTAGCAGGGAATCATCGGGATGGCAGCCAGTGACAAGCGTGGTCCCCCAGGGCTCTGTCCTGGGGCTGATCCTGTTTAATCTTTTCATTAATGACATGGAAGAAGGGGTGAACAGTCTGCTGATCAAATTCTCAGACGACACTCAAACTGGAGCAGTGGCCACAGCTGAGGAGCAGGTACTCCAGATCCAAAAGAATCTGGACAGACTATGGAAGTGGGCAGGAGACAACAGGATGGCGTTCAATGTGGATAAGTGCAAGGACCTGCACTTGGGGCACAGGAATAGGTGTCATAAGTACAGGTTAGGTGACAAGTGGCTGGAGAGCAGCACTTGTGAAAGGGACCTCAGGGTGCTGGTTGACTGCAGGCTAAACATGAGTCAGCAGTGTGATGCGGTGGTCAAGAGGGCGAATGCCACCCTTGGTTGCATAACCAGAAGTGTGGCTTCTAGATCAAGAGAGGTATTACTACCACTCTACACGACTCTGGTGCACCCGCAACTGGAGTATTGTGCCCAGTTTTGGGCCCCTCATTACAGAAAGAATATAGCCAGGTTAGAGTCAGTGCAGCGTAGGGCCACAAGGTTGGTGGCCAGTTTACAGGGGATGGGGCATGAGACGAGACTGAGGGAACTGGGTCTCTTCAGCCCTGCAGAGGAAGGCAGTACGTGCTCCAACGGAGCAAAGCTCAGGGAGCCAAGGTTCCATTTGGATGCCAGGAAGCACTTCCTGACAGTTAGGACCCTGAGGGTGTGAAATGGGCTTCCACGAGAGGTCATTGAGGCCCCATCGGTGCGGGTGTTCAAGGATAGACTGGACGTCCACATGGTGGGCATGTCGTGAGCGGAGCCGGCTGGTTCTGGAAGTCAGACTAGATGGCCCAGGAGGCCCCTTCTGACTCACTCTGTTTCTGTGTTTCTGTGTATCGATTTTAAATAAGGAAAACATGCATATTCAGGGGCAAAGTTTTTTGAGCTGTAAATTCTGTACGAATTTATAGCACCATAGTCCTTAATGTTCTGAGCTAATGGCGTTTATTAGCTATAAAAAGAGAAACATTAAACAGAATACATAAAGGAGAGCCAGTTCATCTTTCAGAATAATTGATGTGTAACTGATACTTCTTTTTTGTGGTCTCTGTGCGTCACACGCATGGGCTCTTTGCCTGTGTGGGGGCTGTTGTCAGATAGATAAAGATTCCCTAGCTAGTTGTTTTGGTGGGAGTCCTGCCCCCTTCTCCAAATGGTATATAAAGGTAAGGCTTTTGCCATTTTCTAGTTTGTTTTTGACTGCTTCCCTGGGTTTCTCAGGTTTGTTCCTGCCTAGTTCTCATTATCTATATATCACTTTTTCCCTCAACCTTACCTTACAAAAATCTGAATTTCTTTCACTCTTTAAACTTTATCTGTTCTCATCCTATATATTTTTTAAAAGTATTGCTCTTACCTCATATCCATGTCGTGAGCGGAGCCGGCTGGTGCCGGAGGTCAGACTAGATGGCCCAGGAGGCCCCTTCTGACTCGCTCTGTTTCTATGTTTCCTATACCTTACTGTTAACGCTTTTCCATCTGCCTTTCTTTATCCCCCCACAAACTCTTTTTTCCCCCTTTAACCACTTTATTCCGTCCCTTGATGGCACTCACAGCTGTGTTTCAAAAGTGTATATGCTGTGGCACCAAGTTGCCCTCAACTGATAGACATTCACTTTGTCTTTTCTGCCTGGGAGAAGACCACAGGTTATATTCTTGCTTACATTGTCAGACTCTTGCTAAGTAGGCAAGGAGAAAATGAGTGAGCCTTCTGTACCATGAAATGTGGACCAGAGCCTTAAGGGTGGCAGATACAGTCATGCCAGGCCCTTTTACTTTGTAGCCAGTTCTGAATGCAGCTGCTGCTGGGGCTTCATCAGCTGAACAGGTGAACTCCACTTGAAAGTCCACCAAAAAAGGCTGAAAAGAAGGGCCAAACGTGGCCTCAAAATGGCAACTGATAGAAGCTCAAAAATAGTGGGAAAAAAGTCTGCAGAGAAGCCTAAGAAGAAGACTCTCCACCATTTCCCCACACCAGACCAATCTCTAGTCTGCCCCAGGGTGCATCTGGTGGAACCTGTACCGGCTACATTTCCAGTTCCTCCACCTCTGTCAACAGCACCATCCTCCAGATTGATGATCTGACCAAAACATACTACACATTCTCAGAGGGTGAGATACGGGACTCACCTCCAACAACTCCATGAAGCTCTTCCCAACTGATGCAAGAGCCACTCCCAGGACCAGTATATGAGCTGATTTCACCATGCATCTCCAGGGGCTCGAGCCAATGATGCAGCTTGGGAGAGAGAAAGCTACTGGATGCCACTGACAGCTCCATATGGCCATCAGTTCTGAGAATCAAGGTCAAGGGAAATTCCTTACCAACACTGAAATCAACCCTTGTTCCTGCAAAAAGATCCTTAGCCCATTATGCCATCTGTTCCAGTGTTAGCACATCCATCACGCTCCAGGCTGCCAGCTCCTGCTGCTGAACAGCAACTAGCAAACCCAGCTCCACTGCCACATGTGCCATCCTCACCATCCAGTTATTCCTCCTCCTCATCAGTCCCAGGAGACTATGCATCCAAATCTGACCAACTACCATACAAGGAACCAAAGATGTGACAACAATGCAAGGACCAGAATCCCCCTCCAAAGACTTTGTAAGATTCTCTGAACAAGTTCTTTGGATGGTAACATTGCTCTGGTTGGAAACACAGTAACTGGCCAAACTACCAATCAAACTGATACACAATGTCATCCAGATGGAGGGCTCTGTTCTGGAAGCCATTCAATTCATGCCAACCCTTCTCAATGCTATGAAGGACTCATGGAAGGCATTGACTCAATGATGGCCAATGTTGAGGCATTTAGAGAGTCTTTACCAAGTCCAGGAGGGGGCCATCCCTTTGCTTTTGCATAATCCTCAACCCAACTCAGTGATTGTGGAATTTGTCCAAGGAAGTTTTGCTGAAATACCATCAGACTTCAGGGCTCTAGGGAGGAAAATAAAAAAACATTGGTGTCCAAATAGTCTTCTCCTCAATCCTGCCAGAACATGGAACAGGAACAGTTAGGGAAAGAAAAATCCTTCAAGTGAATGACTGACTATGATGGTGGTGCCACGAAGAGAGATTTGGATTCTGGGACCACAAGCTGAGGTTCCTGGAAGATGGAACTGGCAAATGATGGGCTGTACCTCACAAAGAACGGGAAGCAGAAGTTTGGCTACTATATGAAAAAGTTCATCAGGAGAGTTTTAAACTAAAACCTATAGGGGAGGGAGATGTGCAGCATGGCATACCATCACCTGGCAAAGATTTATATATTTCAACAGAGAAAAAACTTTGGCTATTGGGCAGTATAGAAATTAAGATGACAAAGATTGTGATAGCTCTTCCTATGTCAGCCCCCACCCCCCTATGAAAATGCTACACAGAGAGTAAGGAGATCCTGTTGAGTAGGGTAACCTGTGGTGTGATATGGAGGGTGGAACTCTGCAAAATGGTTGAGAGGCCTTCCATGAGTAAAGCCTTTCAACATGTGGACATGTTGAACATGTTTAACATGCCTTCCTCTCACAGAAGACAGATCCTGGATCCAGTCCTAAAAGCACAATCCTATGCATGCTTAGTCAGAAAAAGGCATACAACTTCCAGCATTCCCCAATGAGCCATGCTGGCTAGGATTTGCAGGATTACTTTTTCTAAGTATGCATGGAATTAATGCACTTAAGTTTTATAAGAAAACTGTATCAATCTATTGGTTCTATCTGTTTCTTCCTTTATATTTTTGTGCAGTTGGAATTAACTAAGAACACACATTTGTTCTAACTTTGTGAGTACAGAAACAACATAACTTACAAAAACAAAAATCAGCTATTTTGTGAGTTTGTAAACTATTATTTTGCAGGCTGGGTGAATGCACTGGTTGGAGGACAAAAAGAAGGTGCTCGAGGCTTCATGTTTTTTATCATTAATGTTGAGCTTACTGAAGAAGGCCTTTGTAAGTGAATTCATTCTTTCATTCTGATTTGTTAGCCTTTAAAGCACATTGATTCATGTATAAAGCTATTTATATATCCAGGTATGACAAATAATTGATAGGAAACCCGTACTAAGCCAGCTGTATCAGGGATAAACAAACTGACTTCAGACTGATAGGAATGTTCTTATTCTTTGAAGTGCTTCTTGGAGAATATTAAATGACACATTTGGTTTTCCTAAATTCTATAAATTTAAAAATTATTCTCCTACTTGAGAAGAATTTAGGCAGTTTTCTGAGAGAGAGAGAAAGTGAGAATAAATAATAAACCTTTGTTTACTACTTCACATTAATTCAGCCTGTGTCAGAAGACTGAACTGGAAGTATGAGTAATAAGGACTAAACTAGATACAATGTTGAAAATTGCTTCCTCACCCCTAGAGTGAGGAATACCACCAATAGCAGTAGCAGAGGAGGTTATTTGATTAATAATTTGGTCCTTCCTCAGTCTTTGAAGCAGCTGCATGAGATTACTCATTATTTAAAAAAAAACCCCATTCAGGAGACCCCCAGATCTCCTATATCACTTCTCTTATGACCCTAAGAAAGCTAAAAATACATAGTTGATTTTTTTCTGAGAAATTCCTTATGCATGTAATCTTTCTTTCTTTTTTAAAGTACATGTGGAAGATATTATTTTACACATGTTTCAGTATATACAAAAACTGCGTACAGAAGGACCTCAAGAATGGGTTTTTCAAGAATGCAAGGTATGACATTTTTATATATTTATTTCTAGAAGGGTAGACATGTCAGTCTGTTGCCATAAAACCCGAATCCGTGTTTAACCCATAGCCAGCTGTAGCCTTGTGGCAGTGAGTACATATACTGACCCTTTCATGCTTATCAGTTTCACTTTCCTAAATAATCCAGGAATGTCCTGTTCCCAGATAATATCTGAATCTGGCATCTTTAACCTTTAAACTTTTTACACCCTTAACTAATTACACTGATAGCTAAACAGTGTAATTAATTAAGGGTGCGATTACAAAAGTCCTAAAACATCCAACATCCTGCAGCTAGTATGGTTGGTTAGAACTGTAGGACTTTTTTCTGACTTAAGCATGCCCTAAATCTGTTCCTGAATTCTTTCTTTAATATAGGGTGGGGCAAGCAAATGGGAAATTTTCAATTGATGTTCAATGCACAAATAAACACATTACAAAATACATTTTATGATGGAATGTATTGTACAGGATATGCAATTAATGATGGTAATCAGTATGCATTTAATATTCATTTTATGTCTTGAAGATAACATCATGAAGATATTGGCTATTTTTCTGTACACATTTTGACAGCCTGCTGTGGAAATTCTGTATTGTCCAGCATAATATGTCAAGAGGAATGCCAGCAATTTCCTCTTCCTTCCTCCTTTTTAGTTGTAGGACATGTGTGGTACACTTGGCTTTTAAGATGTCCCTACAGAAAAAAATCAGACAGTGATATCTGGGGATTCCAGAGGCCATGGAATGTCACCATTGCGTGAAATGATGCACCTTCCGAACAATAGTTGAATAGCTGCCATAGATTGTCAGGCAGTATGTGAAGTGGCTCCATTCTGATCATATGTAACTGTGGTTGCAATGTCCTTCTCATTTTCAAAGTACTGGCCTGTGACACCATGCGATGATGCAGCACACCATACTGGAACCTTAGTGCTGTGTAATGGATGCTGGTGAAGCTCAAAAGGATTTTCCTGCGCCCAGTAATGGAAATTCTGTTTGTTAACATATCTGTTAAGGTGAAAATGGGCTTTGTCCAAAATCCACAAGTTGTTAATGAAATTGGCATCCTCGTTTACTTTAGCCAGCAATGGTTCACAAAACTGTTGACGCAACACGTGGTCATTGGGTTTGAGTTCCTGCACAATCTGCAATTTGTAGGGATAGAACTTCAACTTGTGCAGTATACTTTGCATGCTTTGTCGCCCCAAGTGTAGCAATGATGTGTGTTGTCGAATGGAGTGTCAAGGGCTCCTCACAATGGCAGCTCGAGCAGCCTCAATATTCTCTGGTGTGCGGGCCATTCAAACACCACCGGAGGGATTCTTTTTTAAGGTTGAATCTGTTTCTTCGAAATTATGCCCTCATGTTGTAATCGCATGTGCAGACGGGACATGATCATGACGTCCTAGCTGGTAATGATCCTGAAATTCCCTTTGCACAGCAGTCACACTATCGCCTTTCTTATAAAAGGCTTTTACAGCGAACGCTCATTGCGCACCACTCTACTGCTCCATTATAACTAATGGCAAGGGGTCCTAAACAAGGTTGCACTGGTTCCGAACAATTCCTGTTGTGTCAGGGTTGCCAGCTCCTAGTTCCAAAATTTCACGTTTGCCTGCATCACCCTGTACTGGCGCTGAATGGTTGCTTACCTTGCTTTGTAGAGATTTTATAGTAACCTAAGCAGTTTCCAGCTATTTTCTTTAGTTAGTATTTGTTAAACCAGTATATTTATTTGATTGCCCAGCAATCAAATTAAAATTAACTCCAAGTCCTATTATTATTCAATACTGGATTTACAATAGTGACAATAACAAGTGTTATTTTATTTTATTTCCCTTTAGGATCTAAATGCCGTAGCCTTCCGATTTAAGGATAAAGAAAGACCCCGAAGTTATACATCAAAACTTGCAGGAATGCTGCATGTGAGTTATGGGTTTTTAGCTTGGGATGTGTATGTTACAGTGTACTACAGTATTTTGTAACATTTCTGAAATGTTTCAGGAAAAGTTGGTCAGTAATGACATTCATAAGGACAAGTCCTAACTTTTCACCTGAAGTATGTACTTTATCCACAAAAGCAGTTCTGTCTAGATTATGTCTTTTAATGTCTTGGTATTGCACACAATTATCAGGGTAAAGAATGCTGATGATTTGACTAATAATCTCATAAATATTGAAGCTATTTACCAATAGCTGGAGTGGAAGTCCAGAGTTATGTGGCTGAAGGATGTATACAATTTCTTATTTCCAAGCATAGCTGGCATGATTATGTCTTCAAATCAGTTTGATTATTACCTTCACATCATCTGATTTTTGCAATGAATTGAAATGCTTACTAAATACTGTGCTTCCCAAGGACTTGATCCTAAAAAAAAATAATCTTCTTACCCAGTCATAGTCCTATTAGGTTTTACATGATCTTTTAGTGTCTTCAGTAGCAAGAATTTAATATCTAAGCAACTAGGGAGAGGTGTATTGTGGCCCTGATTACTAATATACTGTATTTTTCACTCTATAAGACTCACTTCCCCCCCCCTCAAAAGTAAGGGGAAATGTCTGTGCATCTTATAGAGCAAATGTGTGTGTGCCCGACGCCCGGGACGCTGCCGGCGGGGGGGGGGGTGGAGCAGCGCACGCCGAGTGCATGCTGGCCAGGTGGTGCCACATGGTGCAGGCGGGCCAGCAGCGTCCCGGGCGTCGGGCGCACACACATTTATTCTATAAGACGCACAGACATTTCCCCTTACTTTTGAGGGGGGGGAAGTGAGTCTTATAGAGTGAAAAATACGGTATGTTAACTGTCCACTAGACATTCTTTGAGGGGCCATAGGATAGCAGGGGCTCTCTCTCCATGGTCAGAGACAATGCTGAAGCTAGTGAGGAAAGACCTATGCCGGCTGACCTCTGTGGTTGAAAAACTGACCTCTGTGTGTGTGTGTGCGCGCGCAGGCGTGCGCGTGGCCGAGGTGGGGTGCTTCCAGTGGATGGGAAGGGGAAGAGACAGAGAAGCCAGGACTCAGGTTACTCTGAACTTCTTTCTGCCTTCTTCCTTCTCCTTCTGAAGTGCTATCACCAGGGCTAAAAAACTTATCTACTGAAATCTGCAGGCAAATATCATCTCCACCATTTTCCCCACCCCAGCAATGAATGATCAGAAATGTCTGAATTTGGAACTCCTGATTAGTTAGGGCAGGGCAGCCCAACTTTTTGTACCTTGAGGCCTTCATGAGGACTTCGACACAGAACCTGGGGGCCGCACAATGAATTACAGTTCCATATAGTAAATTAAAGTGTTCACAATATACTTATAAAAATTAATACACACAATTAATGCATAGTTAATTAACCATTAAATGAGGAAGAAAATCCGTAAGAGGTCTCAGAGCTGCCTTGAGAATGCTTTGTGGGTCTGTGATTTCTGCAGAGATCACAGGCAGCTCCTTCTCCAACAACAGCCCAGCCACAATGTCCACTCATCTGGGGTAGCCTATCCCTTTCTTCCCTGTTTCTCCTGCCCAGAAACCCTCCCATGTGACCATCCAGCCCCACGTTCCTTTTTGGAATTGTGCTGAGCCAACCTCTTGTACTTGAGCTGGTGAACTCTCAAGGTGCTCATCAGCATGCAGGGCATGCTGGGGCAAGCTCTCACATGGCTGCTGGCTTGTTCTGCTCCTTTCCTTAGGGGGCTGTTCCAATAAGTTAGTGGGGCACTTTGGAAGTGCAGCTAAAGACCATCCAAATGTGACCTGGACAGCCAAAAACAGCTTGGTGTTGCAGCAAAGGTGGCAATAGCTAGAGAGAGCTCAGAAAGCAGCAAGAGGTTTCTTGCCACTTTTGTAGAGTGAATTACTGCTGTGGGACTTCGTGTGATCTGTCACCCAGGTTCAGGTTCCTTACTCCGAGCAGAGCAAGCTGCCCCAGCTGGTCTAGGGCCTCTGGGATACAAGCAGCCAAGCTACCAGGGAGCAAGTGAACAGGGAGAGCAAGCAGGAGTTTGGCAGAGGAGTTGTTGTAGTTGAAGAAGAGACAGGGCAGGCAGAGGCAAAACAGAGACAAGCCTGCACTAGCCCAGCTAGTAGTCTTTTGTTTTTCTAAGAGACAGTTGAAGGGAAGCTGCAGATAAGCTGGTCGCTGAACAGAAGTGGCCTGATCAGGTAGCAGCAGTTGTGTGGTTGGGGTGATTCATTCTGGTTCTAACAGAGCAGAGCAAACTGCCCCAGCTGGTCTAAGGCCTCTGGGATACAAGCAGCCAAGCTTCCAGGGAGTGAGCCACTGGAGCGAGAGAACAGGAAGAGCAAATGAGTTCGGCAGAAGTCCCTAACATTTCCCCCTTCTTTTCTCTTTTTTAATTCCCATGCTGCACACACACAAACACACACTAGTTTTCTTCCTTGTAAAACACTCCAATTTACTAGTAGGATTGTGTTGCTTACCTTTAGTGAAGACATTTGAAAATACCAGTTGTCACTATAAACCCCTCCCCCCAAAGACAGAGTCATTAAGGTTGCACAAACAGTGGACCGAGGAGACTCCACAGTGGTGGCCTGCAACAGCTGCATACTAGTAGCCCTGATACAAGAAAAGGTGAGAGCACTGAAGCAGCAAGGATCCATCTTCCAGATAATAAAAGAAAACAAGTTTTTAGACAGAGTGGAGGAGCTGCAACAGCTAAATCACCAAGTATGCTGTCTCCCTGGCGACAAGATTAAAAATATAACCAACATGTTCACACAACTGATGCAACCCACTGACAAATACCCCTTCCTTCTCTTCCACATGGGACCTAACAACACTGCCTTGAGAAGCTTCACTGAAATAACATCAGAATTCAAAGCTCTAGTGAGGAAAATAAAAACCATTGTGGTGCAGACAATCTCCTCAATCCTACCAGTACATGAAAGAGGAACTGTTAAGGAAAGAAAAATCCTTCCAGTGAGCCACAAGTTAAGCTTCCTGGAAGATGGATTTATTAACAAATTATGGAGTGCATCTCACAAAGAACGGGAAGCAGAAGTTTGGCTACTACATGAAAAAGTTCATCAGGAGAGCTTTAAACTAAAACCTATAGGGGAGGGAGGGACTGCAGATGGCGCAGTGGTTTAAACCGCTGTGCTGCTGGGCTGGTAGATCGAAAGGTCGCTGGTTCGAATCTGCCCAACAGGGTGAGTTCCCGTTGCTCTGTCCCAGCTCCTGCCAACCTTGCAGTTCAAAAGCATGAAAATGCAAGTAGATAAAAAGGTACCACTTCGGTGGGCAGGTAACAGCGTTCCGTGCACTTCAGTGTTTAGTCATGCCGGCCACATGACCATAGAGTCTGTCTGTGGACAAATGCTGGCTCCCTCGGCTAGGAAACGGAGATGAGCACCGCCCCCTAGAGTCAGGCATGACTGGACTTAATGTCAAGGGGAAACCTTTACCTTTACCTTTATGGGGAGAGAGATGTGCAGCATGGCATACCATCACCTGGCAAAGACTTATATATTTCAACAGAGAAAAAACCTCAAGCAGGGCCCGACACCAGTCTCCCAAAATACGTAGACAGAAAGCCAGGGCACAGCTAGAATGAACTTCTGTGTCTCTACACCAGTGCCCAGGGTATGGGAAACAACGTGAACTTGAGCACATAGTCCCTGAGGGTTATTCATATAATCTTATACAAATAACTGAAACTTGGTGGGATGACTCACATGACTGGAAGTGTACGATTAATGGATATAGCTTGTTTAAGAAAAACAGAAAGGACAAAAATGGAGGTGGAATCGCACTGTATGTGAACAATGCATATATCTGCACAGAAATACAAGGAGAGGAACTTAGTAGCCCCATCGAAAGCATCTGGCTAAATTTAAAGGAAGTAAAAAATGAGACATAGTTATTGGCATCTGTTACCAACCAAAAGAGGACAAGGATGCAAACTTCAAAAAGCAACTTACTGGCATTTCCAAGAAGAATGATGTAGTCCTCATGGGGAACTTCAATTTCCCTGATACATGCTGGGGGACAAATTCTGCCAAGCATGGCCCCTCCAAGAGATTCCTGACGTATGTCACCAACAACTTTCTCCAGCAGAAAGTAGATGAAGGTATGAGAGACTCAGCTATCCTTGATTTAATACTAAGAGGGATGACCTGTTGCACAAAATAGCCATAGGAATTCTGGGGGAAAGTGACCATGTGATACTTGAATTCTCAATTATAAAGGAGATAAAGGGTAACTGGAGCCAGACACACATCATGGACCTCAAGAAAGCCAACTTTAACAAACTCAGAAAAATGATAAGCAAAGTGCCATGACAACACACCCTTAAGGGAAAAAGAGTACAAGATGGGTGGGAAATCTTGAAGAAGTAGATTCTTGAAGCATAACTACGAACAATTCCATCAAGAAAAAAGTGTAGAAGACAGCAGAGGTAGCCCATGTGGCTCCACAAAAAGTTAAGTGACAGCCTGAAAGGAAAAAAAGAACATGTACAGGAAGTGGAAGCAAGGCCTGGCCATGAAGGAAGAAGAGAAAGAAAGAGCAAGGAATTGCAGGAGCAGCTTCAGGAAGGCTAAAGCTGGAAATGAACTGAGAATAGCAAGGGGTGCTAAGAACAAGAGAGCATTCTTCAGATACATCTAGAACAAAAGGCATGAGAAAGAGAAGGTTGTTCAGCTATTTAAAGTGGATGGCAGAGTGATAACAAATGACAAAGAAAAGGCAGAGGCGCTCAATTCCTACTTCACCTCAGTCTTCTCCCACAGGAAACTCTACAAGCAAGAGGAAGTACATGCTGGAAGTGATAGATGGCAGCCCAAGATGGACAGACAAATGGTCAAGGAATGCCTAGATGAAATAAGCACATTCAAATTTCCAGGGGCCGATGAACTCCATCCCAGAGTCATAAAAGAGCCAGCGGAGGAACTTTCAGAAGCACTGGCTATTATCTTTGATAAATCTTGGGAAACAGGAGAAGTGCCTGATGACTGGAGAAGGGAACAATGAACCTTGGAGCTACAGACCAGTTAGTGTGACATCAATCCCTGGAAAAATTTTGGAGCAAATTATTAAAAAATCAGTCTGCAATCATCCTGAAGAAAATGCAGTGCTTAATAGAAGCCAACATGGATTTATCAAAAATAAATCCTGGGCAACTAATTTAATCTCATTTTTTGACGGGGTAACATTCCAAATGGACAGAGGGAACACTGTGGACATAATCCACCTTGACCTTAGCAAAGTTTTTGACGTTGTGCCACAGGACATTCTGATAAGCAAATTAGCAAAAACTGAACTAGATAGAAAAACTATTAGCTGGATCCAAAATTTGCTGCTAAATCAGACACAAAGAGTACTCATCAATGGTACCTTCTCAAATTGAATGGGGTGCCACAGGGTTCATTTCTGGGCCCAGCGCTCTTCAACATCTTTATTAATGGATGAGGAAGTACAAGGCAAGAGAATCAAATTTGCAGACGATACCAAACTGGATGGAATAGTGAATACCCTAGAAGACAGAATGAAGATCCAGAACAGAAGTAACTGTGGTTACTAACTTGGATTTTATTATTTCAAATTGTCAGATCCTCTGGTGTTTTGCTTTATTCTACTTGTTTTTTATTGTAAGCCATCCCAAGACGCTAGTGGTGGACAGGTTACTATTCTATGATTCTAGATGACACAACAACCCACTGTGCTTAAAGTGAACCCCATAGCAGCCCATGGATTCTTATTATAGTTAGTTTGAAAAATACTATCCCCAGTGGGTAAGGTACCCTTGTGTTTGTATGACACAGCAGCAACCTACAGATTTTTCTTCATTGATTAACCAGTCACAGTGCTATGTGAACCTGGGCAATGACCTTTTTGGGACAACAAGAAAACTCTCTTGTTATCATAGATGGTTTGTTGTGTGTGTGTGACTAAGGGCAGCTTCACCAAACATGACTTGTTTTGTCAAACTAAGTAATTGCCAATGCTCATGGCTTGTTCCGGGGTTGTTGTCACCCGTGCTGGGTTATTATGTTCTCTATACTTGGACATCAAAACCCACCATGGGTGAGTCCCAATACCCAAGGAGCCGCTTGGTGAGAGTGGCAAAAATCTTGTGCTGCTCTTGACAAGTGGCTGCCAGGTGTGCTTTGCTGACTGCAGCCTTCAAATTGCCCAAACAGCACTTGGGGGCTGCTGGAAGAAATTTTCCTCTGCTCTAGTGGCACTGAGAGGCCATCCTTGCTGGCAACCTGAGAGGAGATCTCTCTAGCCACTGGTCAAAATGGTTGGGATTAACTTCTTCTTGACAAAGGGCCTGGGCCTACTCAGCATGGCAGAGCAGACAATAGTAGTGACTGTTGGAGAAGTCTACTCTTGGCCAGGCAGTGGGAGAAGGTGAGGGTGCCCACTTTGCTCAGTGGCTGTGATAGGACCTCAAGGACAGGCAGCAGTGCCAAGGGATTGGAGACCCTTGCCTCCTGCCTGATGATTTCCTGGGGGTGCTGCTTCATGTCCTGCTGATGAGCACATAGGTGCTCAGCTCCAGGGTGCCTTTCAGCTAATCACCTGGAGTGGCATGAGGCCACCAGCACCATGGACTCTCTGCAGTGTGCCCTGCCCACTCCTGCTGAGAAGCACGAAGATGCTCAGTTCCTGGGTGCCTTTGTGCTCATCAGCTGGAGTAGTATGGGGCCACAGGATGGGCCAGCAGCCTTATGAGAGTTTGTCACAATTATGCCTGTGCCGCTGTTTGGATGTGGACTGGGGGAGCAACAGGGGGTTCCAAGTGGCAAGAGGGCCACAGAACAAGGTGTAGGGAGCCACATGTGATCTGCGGACTGTGTGTTGGAGTACCCCGAGTTAGGGCATAATTGATAGGATTGTGCCCTTGACAATTCTGTTTGAACTCTTGGAACTAAGTTTTTTGAGATATTACCAAATTGGTATGTTTAGTGATTGCTTATTTCTGTTCACTACAAAAACATATCCTCCAGGGGTCACCATTTACTGCATTTTATCCTGTATATTGATTGTGTTGGGATTCTTAGGATAGATTGCTTTTCTTCTAAACTGTTAATAGCATTGTTAAATGACAGTTATCTGTTCTGTGCAATCTTAGTAATTGTAATACTATCTCTTTAAAGTATTATACAGAAAAGTTTTACTTTTTTATTTAGACTAAGAATATAATGTTTTATTTTAGCACTATCCCATAGAAGAAGTTCTTGCTGCTGAATATTTACTTGAAGAATTTAGGCCTGATTTAATAGAAATGGTTTTGGATAAACTGAGACCTGAAAATGTCCGGTAAGCTATTTTGATACATCCTGGTGTATTTTACTGATTCTGATTGAAACACTGTGCTGTTTAACGCTGTTAATAAACTGCATCAAATCCACAATTAACAAACACACCCAGAACTATTTTTAGCAGCTACTTATGTTTACACATTTTGTGCAAAGAAAAATACTTAGCATAGCATGATTGTGAAAAATGGAGGGGGAGCACTAGCTAATTATCTTAGGAATCAACAATATAACATTTAGACAATTCATAATATTTATACAGTTCAAAGCATGATTCTTTTGAATTACCATTCAGCTTTTTAATACTTTATCATAGTTTCGTATCATTATCATTGATTCTTTTGGATGCTTTCATGCGAGGATTCAATTCAAGCCATGATTTAGAAGGCTGAAAATAAGCAGTGGGCTCCTCTTCCCCTCTGGCATGCCCCCCCCCCCCCCAATTCTCCTTGTGTCCTGCTAACCATGGTTTTCTATGATAACTTGCAAAATATGGTTAGTGCTTGCCCTCTAAATCAGAATTAGAAAACATAATCTGAAGTGAGTGGTATGTAGGGCAGAATTTGCTGCCTTAGGAATTTATGGCAATGATTGTTAATATGGAGTAGGAAAGTATGCGAAAAGCTGTGCCTTGAGTGGAAAAGAAGGGTGCCTGTTCTAGTTCTGAAATTCAATCGAATTTAGTCCAACAATTCTACCGGAGCAAACATAGGTGTGTGTGAAATCATTCTTTGCTATGTTGTTTTTCTTGAGCATCATTGCAGATGAAGTAATTCATCAAAGTATGTTCCTGTGATTATAGTTTCCCCCCAGTCATACCAGAACTTATATGAGAACATCAGGACACTTGATGTTTTCCCCTTAGTTGTGTCAGTCTTATTAATCTTTTTTACATATCTGTCCTGTGCCTTGTATGATTACTTTTTGCAGAGAAAAAATATAATTGTTTACCAGAAACAGAAAAGTCATTTTTAAAATTAGTGATTAGTGAATTTATATATGGGATTCAATTTATATTAATCTTCATGTTATGGTATGGTAGTTTAGACATTTTAGTTCCACAATTCATGTTATGATGGGCTGCCAGCCACTGTGTACATAATTCACTTTTTGCTGAACTCATGATTCTGCAGGAGTTCATGCTTAAAAACACTTAGATAAGCATTGTACTTTCAATGACAATGACAGAATTGTTACTATAGAAACTAATTTCAAAGAGAAATAAAGGTTCCTTTGTACTAGTGTTCTATGCCATGTGTTTCTACATGTGAAAGAAAGCAATGTAGGATGCTTCATTTCTAGCACAAAATCTTCCATCTTGAGATATTATTTGGCATCCACAAACAAGATTATATGAAAAAAATCTAGTTTTGTTTCTGGTTCAGCTGTAGCCATTGTTTTAAGGTTTTGCTTCTACTAAATATTCAAATCAATAAGTGTTCCATGGATTTAACTGTTGTGTATTCTAATTAACTACCAGTTGCCTTTGAGATGGAGAACAGGGTTGATGGTAAACATTTCCCTTCATGAATAATTGGCCATAGATATGCTAATTACACTTACTATTTTGCATTCAATTTTCCTCCTTTTCAACTGGAAAAATCAGCAGCAGTTCTTTTACTATGGAAATATTTGTTAACTATTATTATTATTCTTATTAATTTCATTTCTATTCCACCCCATAGCCACTGCTCTCTGGGTGGTTTACAACAAGGTATAAAATAAAATAATGCAAATAAAATAAAACAACACTACTAAAATAATTAAAATTAATTTAAAATACGAACTCACATTTTAGTCAGTATGAAACGCTGAAATCCGTTAAAATCTGTTGTTTTAGATATGCAGATGCAGAAAGCATGACTAGGAAAGTACATTTTGTTTTCTATTCTTTGTAAGAATAGAAAACTTTGTAAGGCCTGTTCTTTTCCTTTCTTTCTTCAGATATCTGTTCAGAAATGCTAGAGAGTGAATTCAGGAGCAGCTTTATTATATTATGTAAATGTCTAAGTGGTAGAATAGAAAATTCAAGAACAGTAATATTTTAAATGAATTGTCAAACTGTATTCAGTTTTCAGTGATAATTTCCAGTGTTGAATATATATTGGCTCTTACTCTCTCAGTCTTTTTAACAAACCAGTTGATAAAGCAAATAGTTATATTATTACAAATAATTATGATTAAATAATTAGCCTTCTAATGTGTGTATATCTTGGTATTTTATTATACACGCTGCATACTTTCTTACAAATGTAGAGTTTTCCTTTTTTAAGAATTATAATTTAATATTTATAATTTCAACTTGAGAGTTAGACATATTTCTCTTAATTAAATTAGAATATCATAGATGCAAGAACCAAATATAAGTGCCATATGAGCACCTTACTTAATTTCTTCCAGCCCCCAAGCATTTGCTGGGAGTGCCTTCCCTCTTTGCTCAAATAAGGGCCAGAGAGGCTGGTTGGACACTGCTACTGGAAGATACTCCAAGCAACTTCCAGCAGCAATGCAAAACATTCCCACCTTCCTGTCCTGCTTTCACAGAAATACTCTGATAGAAAGAACAGGTAGTATGCCTTCACCTCCTGTTTCCTGTAAGGATTGTTGGTAAAGCCCATTCTGAGTAGCCAGAGCTTCAAGAGATAGCTAACCCAGGTGTGAAATGCCTATGAGCTGGCCTGTCTTCCAAGGCATTATCATTTTTAATTTTATGTATTTTTTCTGTAGTCAAGAACATAAAATTAATGACTAACCATGGATTGATTTTTTTCATGTTCAGTGGAATTTGAAGGGAATGCAGTTTCCTATATCTGAATTTAAATGTATAAAATGCTTTCTAGATAATATTGCAAGTTCAAAGCATTAATTCTTACATTGCATTTTTTCTACTGGGGACAAGGGGTCTATTAACACAACTTTATTGTGATCAAGTTTAAATGTTTGTATAAGTGTTCAACATGGGGAGAAGCTTGTGTATTAATTATGTTCTGATCTTATTTTTAGGGTTGCAGTAGTATCTAAGTCTTTTCAAGGAAAAACTGATAGAACAGAACAATGGTATGGAACCCAATACAAGCAAGAAGCAATTTCTAGTGAAGTCATCAAGGTGTGCTGAGAAAATTGCTAGTGTCTCATTCTTGAAACCCTCCCCAAATATGTTCATACTTTTCACTGTTGTGAAAGAAGATTTTTTCAACTCAAAACATAGCTATTATTGAATATTGATCAAATCAAAGAAAATTAAGCCTAACTCTGTTGTCAAAAAATGGTCAATTCCATTCAAATAACTTGGATTATTAACAGCCTTATTACAATGAGTTGAAATACTGCATTAAATATTTTCCCTCTTTAAAAAGCCATTTGATAATTCCCCATTAAAACAATTTATTTTAATAATTTGTTTCGATGAATTGAAAATTATTAGTTCTGTCAACCTGACTGTGGCTGCAGCATGTAAACTAGTGGTTAGACAACAGGTGTGCTATATTTTCTACAACATGTGGATAAAAAGAAAATTTAAATGCTTTAACCAAACTCTGAAAAATCATGTATATCAACAAATGCAGTACATTAGTAACATTATTTTAAATTGTTGTCCTGAAATTTGAAAAAGTAAAATTGGGACATTGGTTTCATTGAATAAATTGAATGTTAACAAAAATACTTTTTCTTTACATAGAGATGGCAAAATGCTGATCTGAATGGGAAATTCAAGCTCCCAGTAAAGAATGAATTTATTCCTTGTAATTTTGAAATTGTACCTTTAGAGAAGGATGCAACACAGTACCCTACTCTCATAAAGGTAAGTATGGATCTTCTATATTTAGTAATAGTACATGGAATTTCTGCAATATATACCATTATTTTCTCAGGGATTTTTGAAATATTAAGTCTGTTGTGCATACTTCCCACTATCTCCATAAACACTGTATGAAAGGACAACTTGAGACATTATAGAAAATGGATATCTTTGCATTCCACCCATATTTCCATCTACTTTTTAGGCCTGCACCACCTAGGTGCACTTGAATTGGGGCAAAGGAAAAAAGATTGAAAGATTAACTTATTTAGTCAAAACCAAGCCCTTTGTAGTACAGCTTGAGTAATATTCTAAAAATAGGTGGTAAAGTAACTTATGATACCCTATTTAAAAACCTATGAAATGTGTTTTACACAGGTGCTACAGCCATACTCTTGGAATGAGTCTATATATTTAAAAGCATATAATGGATTAAGATAGTCAACATATACTTTTGTGATATAATGTAAGAGAAATTTATGTTTTCTTAAAAAACAGGATACTGCCATGAGCAAGCTATGGTTCAAGCAAGATGATAAATTTTTCCTGCCCAAAGCCTGTCTCAACTTTGAATTTTTCAGGTATGCATATATTTTTGTCTTTAAAATGTGCCATACTAAATGGAGGCTGTTTTTTATTTAAGGAAGCATTTAAATCATTTTAGATATACACAGGGTAACTCTATTTGTATATTTTACATTTCCTGTACTTTATGTCTTGATGTGGACAAGGTCCTTGGACAAGTACGTCCTACCACCTGTTTACTTGACCCTTGCCCTTCATGGCTGCTGACCAAAGCCAAACATGGGATAGGTTCCTGGATCCTAGAGGCTATTAACGCCTCTCTGAGGGACGGCCAGGTACCCACTCCTTTAAAGGAGGCAGTAATCAGGCCTGTCCTAACGAAGGTGTCTCTGGATCCAGAGATGGCCACCAGTTGTAGACCGGTGGCCAACATCCCGTTTCTGGACAAGGTGCTTGAGTGGGTGGTGGCCGGACAACTCCAGGCACTCTTGAAGGAAATGGATCATCTCGACCCATTTCAATCTGGTTTCAGGCCCAGCTACAGAATGGAAACTACCTTGGTTGCCCTGTATGATGACCTGTGCAGGGAGAGGGACAGGGGGAGTGTGTCCCTGTTGGTTCTCCTGGACCTCTCAGCGGCTTTCGATACCATCAACCATGGTATCCTTTGGATGGCTGGCTGGGCTAGGAATTGGCGGCACTGCTCTGCGGTGGTTCCACTCCTACTTGTCTGGCCAATACCCAAAGGTGGTGCTGGGAGATTATGGCTCTGTGCCATGGCAACAGGTAATTCTGTTTTGTGTGTACATTTCATATACTTGGATCATTCAGCCAGACCCAGGGCAGAGATGCAACAGCCTTGCCTACCTTCTGAAAAGTCTTCCTGTTATATGTAATGTTGGGACACTCATTTCCAAATTTGGATTGACTAATACAAGTTTTCTTTTTTAATGAGGAAGATACTATTTTTCCAGGCCCAATTTGGAAACTGCACTGTGCTCCCTGTTTGATGCCAGAAACTTCAAATGCATGCATGTACATACACCACCAATGAATCCCTGAGCCTTGGTCCATCACACACCCCAATCCTAGCTGAGACAGATTTCACAACAGCTAGACTGCCTCTCTGCTAGGCTTCCATTCTCCATGGTGCATAGAATGATGAAACAAGAGTCTTCCAGGCTCCACAATATTGGGTTGTATACTTTTCCCAGGATTCTGTATTCAGCAGAGATGCTCTGGAACCCAATCCAACATGTTAAGCTGTAGTTGACCTTACTCACTTTCTGAGCTGAAGAACTTCTTAGACGAAGTGACTATTTCATAATGAAATGTTATTATCTGAAGAAATTTGTATGATAAATCAGGTAAACACAAACTCTTGCATATTAAAGAACAAGCATGCATAACAATGGAAAGCTGTCAGCATGAGCTTAGCATAAAATGAATAACTTCAGTGTTTACATTTAAACCAATGTCTAATAACAAGCAAATTTTCTATTCACATGCTTCCTATAAAATCAAAATGGGAGCAAGATACTGTTTAGTTAGTGAATGAATTTGGTTATAATACTTCAATATTTAGAAAAAATATAGTGGAGAGCAATTGGATCATAAAATATTACAAAATGTTTATGTATTAAGGTAAATGCTTTTTTCAGAACTTTGGTCTTTTTCTTGAGTCATGCTTTTAACTTGAAAAGTTTCCATTAAAAGTGTTCTTCTTTGTGGTCTTTGTGCAACTGAGTCAACTTTGTTTTCAGCTTCTCTTTTATCCCTTTGTTACAAGAAGAGCAGAAGTAGGAAAGATTACGGAGATACCAGTTGGAGTGGGAATAGAATAGAAAAGAAAGAAAAATAGTTGTTCTTTGTGCTCTCTGTGCATCACACATATGGGCTCTGCACTTGCGCAGTGCCTGTAGTTGGAAGAATTTTCCTAGCTAAGCTCAATTTTTGGTGGGAGCCCCTCCCCCTCTCCCTCTTGTATAAATAAGGTGGGCTCCCATAGTTTTCCCCAGTTCCTTTCTGACTGCTGTTTTGAATACCTTGGGTTCCTAGCTTTCTTATATTTTAATTCAGCTTCAAGAACTTTCCAAACTCCTTTAACTATTTTTCCAAAGTCTCTTAACGTTCTATTTTATCTCCTCTTCAATTTCATCCCCATGTTTTATTACCTTAATTCCCCCACAAAAATAATTTTTAAAAACCCTTCTATTGGTTTTCCTGTTTTCCACTTAGCCCCCTTTTTCTTTCTTTTCTCCAATGGCACTCCAGACAGCTTTTTGGAAATTTGTTCTCTGTGGTATAAAAGTGCTCTCCACGGATGGGCATTCCCTTTGCCTCTTTTGCCTCAGGGAAGACTACCAGATAGATTATTTCCCTCAGTGCCAGGTCCACAAGAATAGGGTGGAATGCCTGAAGACCAAAATGAGGAGCCACGCACTCATGGCTGTACAGTTGCTCACCACAAAACCTGATGATCATCCATTGACCTTCCAAGCTTCTGCCTCCTGTCTCACTCCATCAACAGCTGCTGGGGCTCCACCTGCAAAAACCCAGCATTCATGTGATGAGAAGCTGAAGAAGCAACCTAAAAAAAATCACATGAAATGGTGGAGGAATCTAAGATAGTGTCCGGAAAGGGCAAAGAAATGTCCTCCAAATGGACCAGACACCACTCACTATTGGTGCTATTGGTATAAAATCAATCACCTGTTCTGCCAGTGTCCACCAGCTATTGCATCCAAGCTGGCCCCACAAACAGGGTTGCTGCCAATGCTACCACAGGTCTCAACACCAGCTCTTCCATTGGGCTCCATGGTATGAGTGGAACTGACTACATCTCATTCATTTTCCAAAGAGGAGATATGGGCTATACCACCCTGTACCCATGTGAGTCTACCACCTCTATCTCCATCCGGATCAGTTTGTTCCTGGCATGGGACCCAACAACTACCTGCACTGCTCTCCTATGCAGCCACTGGACCAATATATATTCCTCTATTGCTAGCTCCATCTCACTGCTCTTCCCATCGGCTGACGGAAAGGCCCAGGATCCCACCACTGACTTAAGAACAGGATCTGTCCTGGGCCCCTGTTCCACCACTGGGACCATACCATCCAGCTACCCATAGGAACAGAGAAGTTTCAAGCACCACTACAATTGGGAGCCATCTGCACTCTGTCCCAAAGAGCTGGGGGCTTGGTTCCTCCAACTCTTGCACTGATCCCAGCTGCTGCATCACCAGTTCATTGTTCCACCATGGTTCCTATGTCCCAGTCAACTGTCTATCTCAGTCTGTCATCTCACCAGATTGCAGACAGGACAGACCTTCATCACCATCTAATTGTTCTTGGACCCCGCTGACTATACCTGTGATCTGCCTTCACTCTGTCATGACCCAATGCCAGCTTCACCAGACACAGACGAACACAGTGTGCAAAGCCTTCTGCTCTTGTGCCAGCGTCAGTCAAGGATTGCTGGGCAATGTGTTCCTTTGGTCATGGAACAGAACACTCTTCTACCTTTTTTCACTCTTCCCGCTACTTACAAAAGTTCTGGCCAAGATCTGCAGGGAAAACACCAACTGCATTCTAATGACATCTCAGTGGCCCCACCAACCATGGTTCTCCAACCTTCTCCACATGTCAAACTAGGAATTCACTCGCCTCCCACAGACAGTCAACATCATTTCCTGGAATCAGGGCATTCTTTACCCAGAATTCATGTACCTTCAATTGACGGCAAGGCAGATCCTCTACTGAACCAGAACCAAGGATTCCATCCCAAAATCCAATCAATTCTAGATGCAGCCTTGAGGCAAATAAAAAACGTTCATGCTCCTCTAAATGGAATGCTTTTGGAACCTTCACTCAGAGAGAGTCCTTCACCCCGCAACAAATCTTGACCTTCCTACATTGACTGCATGCCAAAGGACTTCAGCCTACATCAGTTAAATGCTACCTATCTGCCATCTCATAATTTCATGGAATGGTAAATGATTTCTCTAATTTCTTACATCCTCTATCCAGATAGTTCCTAAAAGCTCTACATAACCTGAACCTACCCATCCTATCTGTTGTACTGGGATAGAGCCTATCTGTAGTGCTCCAAGCACTAATAAAACTTCCATTTAAACCCTGGTCACCATAGACTTGCACCTTCTCTCCTGGAGGATAACCTTTCTAGTAGCATTCACCTTGGCCAGGAGAGCAAGTGAACTGTGCAGTCAATGTATAGAACTTCCACTTCTTGTTTTTCACAAAGACAAGGCAAATCTCCAACCGGATCAGACATTCCTACCAACAGTTCCCTCCCAATTGCAGCTAAACAAAGACATTGTCTTACCAGTCTACTTCCTGATACCACCTGCTCTTGTTGAATTAGCTCTAGACACACTTGATGTTTGTCAAGTCCTAGCCTTTTCTTGGTCCTGTACTGAATTGTTCCGCTGTTCTCCAAAGCCGTTTGTCTCCTACAGCGAATAATCTGGAGGTAAACCCATCAGTTCTCAGCAGCTCACTGGATTGTAGATTATTAAACTGGCATGCCAACCCGCAGGTCTCCAGCCTCCACAACAACCAAGGGTGCATTCAACCAAAGCAGTGGTGACTTTCACTGCACTCCATGCTGGCATTCCCTTACAAGACCTCTGCCAAGCAGCAACTGGTCTATATCAGTGGTTTTCAACCTTTTTATAGTCGGGGACCAGCAAAAATAGGAACATTATTTTGGGGACCACTGAGGCAGAAATAAAAAGTAGTATGTACATAATATGTATTAGTTTTTAAATATAGTATCAAAAAGGAAAATTCTCAAGATAACCGGAAACTGAACAGTAAAAATGCTAATAAAAGAATAAAATATTGAAATTAAATGTAATTGAACACAACCGAAATTGAATATAAATATGCAATTCAAATAAGGCTTCTATGAAATCTGCTGTTGCTTCTTTTCAGGAATACTTGATCAAACATTTACAATAGCAAAATACAAAATCAATATTTGCTCATAGCCAATACAAATTAAAATACATTATTAACAGCAGAGCAATACAAAATCAAACCAAGTTACTGAATACAATAATATTCGTAATGTTAAATAGTGAAATACAAGGAAACCCATCTACTCAAACTCCCATACTGGCAGAGAATCACTTTCAGCACAATCCTGCCTCAGCATTTCCCTTCCCAGGAGAAAACACAGCAGAGAAAGGAAAAGGCCCAGTTTTTGTGGCCCCACCCAAAGGGTGGACCTGCATGGTGCAGTTCCCAGCTGGCTTCCTCCCCAACCTCCATGGAGGAAGAGGTGAGGAATCAGTAGTGAGAGCACAGCTAGTTCTGTGCTGGTCCTGGTGAGTGAGATGCTGCTGGTGTGTGCGTGCATGACAGTGGCTCTTTCATGAACTGGTAGAAAATGCCAGTGGAGTGGTGCTGGTCAGACCAACAGTTGAAAACCACTGGGCTATACCTTTGACTTTTGTATTCCATTACTGGCTTGACATCTGTGCCATACAGGACTGTTCCTTTGAGAGGATTATGATTGTCACATTTGACCTTAAATCTAAGAAAAGAATTGCATAGCCTAGTACATAGTAGCCCCATGGTTCTTCCAGTCAACACATGGTTGCATGATCCATGAGAGGTCACTGTATATTTAGTTTACTAAGCACCTTCCAGTGTTTCCTTGCAACTGCTGCTGTTCTGGCAAATTGACCTCTCCCCTTGTGTCATCTTCCCTATAGGTTGTCCTTCTGGCAGCTATCCTCTTCTATAGGATGGCCCCATTTGGATCTTCTACATGGACTGCACAGGCATAACGTGCCAGCTGGAACAGCAGTAGCATGCTGCTATCATTAGACAATTAGCGGCTGTAGAGGGCTACCTAATTAAGAAAATATTTGGTTGGATAGATACCTTGCCTGTTGATCAGTATAGTGTTAGTCTTGATTTCTTTAGGAACCCATATATATATTTCAACATAATCCTATGCATGCTTGCACAGAAGTAAGTCCTACAATGTTCAGTGGGGTTTTTTATTAGTATAATAATTAAGTCACCATAATAATTTAAAGTGAGTATATTTTCAGAAGATTACCTCAAAAGATGTGTGAATAAAAATGCTATATCCTATTTTAATCTGCTATTTCTTAAAAATTGAAAAGATGCAAATTATATAGTATTAACAGCATGCTGCTCTTTGAAGTATTGATGAATCTCAGAATCGTGTTTTCTGCTTGATTATGCTGAATAATGTGTATTGAATATGATTTATCTTTCACAGAGGAATATTCAGTAAAACTTTTCTTGTGAAGAATCAGTATTGACAGTTTAGTATTTCTCTGTATCTGTAGATAGTAGAACATGCTGTGTATAAATTGTTTCCAATCTTAATCTGGTTTGTCAACTTTGGTATACTGGTATTAAGCAGTATTGTTGAAACATGACTTGAGTCTTTGAGTTGTCTTTATAAGCCTGTGTAGGCTACTATGCTTCCTTGAAGATTACAAAATATGTTTTCATATTTTTCTTCCTAAAGTAGCAAGTGACAATGGCTTGGAAACAAAACAAAACCTACAACTATTTTTGACTCTGCATTCACCAGATGTGTTCAGTGAAGTTTCATCCTGATGGCACACAATTTAAATGAGACACTATCTTGCCTTTAGACACACTGATTAATCTACTGTGTACTGGTGTTAGCTTCTTTAAAAATGATTTGTTTTAAAATCTGTATTATTTCCTATATCAAACACAAAATGGGCTAAAATTCTGTTATGGTAATGGTTTAAGCAGCACAGTTAATATGCTTGGTATATGTCTGTCTCTGTCTATATTTATTTAATCTGTATTTTCCATTTCCTGTGTGTTTGTATGTCATTCTAAACTCATAATATGATGTACCTAAATTATTTTTAACTACACCATTGTATCCAGTATGGAGGATCAAGCAGAATTAAGTAACTGTGTCAGACATTTTACTTTCAACATTTTCTTCCAGCCCATTTGCTTACGTGGATCCCTTACATTGTAACATGGCCTATTTGTATCTTGAGCTACTCAAAGACTCCCTCAACGAGTATGCATATGCAGCAGAACTAGCTGGCTTGAACTATGATCTCCAAGATACCATCTATGGGATGTATGTAAGTACACAGATCAAGGAGAATCTTAAAAGCCTTAAATTTACTTCCACTGATCAGGGAACAAGAAAACTTGATTTTCTGGAAGCATTTTTTTAAAATGGCTTTTCCAGGATTTAATTATTTTAGTTCCTTTTTCTGCCTTAATTTTTAACTATACTTTGAATTTTAAGTTCAAATTTTTCTAAGTCTCAACATTTCATATCCAGAAATGTTTTGCTGCATTTTACATCATTCATCAGTTTCAAAAATTTACTTTAAAAAAAATCAGCCCTAATTGGAATTTAGATTTTGCTACTACACTTTCTAGTGAAAAAAAAAACCTATTCACAATATTTTCAGTGTTTCATTCCGAACAATACTGGTTATGAGGCTGCATATACATACTCTTCAGTCATGTTTCTTCGTCCATTACTGTATTACTGCCTGAGGTATCAAAGCATCCTTTTTTTTTTCTTTTTGTTAGTCGCTACCTTTATGCTGACCCTCTCCATTGCAACATGACATACCTGTTTATCAGGTTATTGAAGGATGATTTAAAAGAGTATACATATGCAGCACGCCTCTCAGGTTTGGTGTATGCCATTGCATCAGGAATGAATGCAATACTTGTAAGTAAGAAGGGGAAAAAACAGGAAGAAATGAGATGGCTTGAGATTTAAATGCCGCTTGGAAAAATGCTGGCTTCCTCATATCTAAACAAAACAGCTGCTGGTTTGTGTTCTCTTGCATCTCTCTCATAATTGGAAAAAACATGCAGTTTTATAACTATTTATTGAATGGTTTGGCTAAAACTGGAACGCTTTTGAGACTGTATAGTATGCCTAAATTGTGTTTCTGATTTGCATACAGTAATCTTTCAAAAATGTTATTTAAAAGTAGAAGTTTGTGGGCTATCATCCACTTAGATTGTGATGTATACTAAAAACAAAAAACAAAAAACCAAACAACCCAAACCACCACATGGCATAAAAGACGAATATATTTTTGAGGCATGATCTTATGTAGGCTAGATTCTACACTGTTAGATGTATGCTACTAAATCCTACTAATTGCATTATTGGCTTTGAAACAACTGCATGTTAAAACCAAGGTGATGATTGCAAAAATAAATCTGTCCTTTCTTTTGTAAAGAAAATATTAAATCCTGATACCTAATATAGACATTCCTCTTTAGATAAGAGCTGTCACAAATCTGCGTGTCTTTTTTAGGAATTGCCTTAATTTTCTGATAAAATAGGATACCTCTAAAGAACATGATGTGGATGGAGTGACTTGAAGGTTTTCGTGCTCAAACTGATTACAAAAACACAAGCATGATTTTAATAGAAAATTTTGCAAACTTTTTGTTTACACACACACACACACACACACACACACATTCTGCCATTTTTTCATCCTTAAGGATTACATAGCATTTTCAGGCAGCCTTCCTCCAGAAGCAGATCTACTTTGTTTCAGCAAGAGTGTGGCATTGGCTATCGGGCAGTCTAGAAATCTAAGAAATAAATATGCTGTAAACGCAACATCTTGCATTGTAATTACAAGTTTTTTATTACCTTTAAAAGAAAAATAAAGCAGATGTCTTCAGTCTGCAACCTAGCACCTAGTCAACATGAGTCCAAGTTGATTCTAATTTCTTGAGTCATCTAGCATGATTGCTTTCTCTTTTTTTCTATCAACAATTACATATTTATCTTAGGAATCTAGTTATCCAGAGATTCTGCTTCTGTTCTGTTAAATGCTATATAAGCATTCTCATCTTTCTCTGTGTACAGTAAATAACGAGTGTGTAAAGCAGAGTTAATGTAATATTAAAATAGTCTGCATATCTATAAAAGAGAGCTTGGTATGAGGGCATATGTATATGATATACCCACTTACGCAGTAACATGAACTTCATGTTAATATATTAAATATTTGTGATACCCTGATTTTCTTAAGAAAAATATTATAAATCTTGTGCTTTAGAAAGTATGGAACAGAACTCATGTTATACTTGCTATAGATTTTGAGATCTTTAAGTTCTTTTATTCTATATTTGGAAAAAGTATGTTCATTATTTCACTTAGCCTAGACAGTGTGGTATAGTGGTTAGAATGTTGGGCAGGGAATCAGGAGATCTGGTTCTAATCCTCCTTCAAGCATGGAGCTCACTGGGTGACTTAGAGCCAGTCACATACTCTCAGGCTAACCTACCTCAGTTGTTGTAGTGAGGATAAAATGAAGAGAAGAAGCCACCTTGTCTTCCTTGCAAGAGGAAGAAAGGTGGGATATAAATGTGATGTAATTAAAAAATAATATTTTTAGTACTTTTTCCTCTTTTTCTGTCTCCCTTCCCCCAAAATTATCACACTGATTTTCCTGAAAATAGAGATTTGGTCATCTTTCTTTCTTAACATTTGGACAACATTCTTTCTTTGCTTTGCAGAATGGAACAATACTTGGTTTTTATTGTAATTTCACATCCATAATATTTACCTTAATAAACATTTACATCTTGAGAAAAAGTAAAGCAGTAGATTTCCATACCACAGAGGAAAAACATTAGAATTTTGTTGAAATTTGACAGAATATTTCCCAGTGCTGATGGAAGATCTAGAATTATAGTTGAAAATGGAATACTTCAAACATAGACACATCCTATTTATTTTCCTTGTATAGCTTTCTGTAAAAGGTTATAATGACAAGCAGCATATCCTACTGAAGAAGATTATTGAGAAAATGGCCACATTTGAGATTGATGAAAAACGATTTGAAATTATCAAAGAGGCGGTAAGCCATCTGGGAGTTCTATTTTTACCTTTATACCTTACCATTTTTCTCCTTTAATTTTTTGTTGTTAGGGATGCATTTATGTATTGATTGCTATTGCTTAATAAAATTTACATAAATTAGAATGGCAAGTATCCCACCCTATTGAGATAGCAAAGATCTGTACACTGAATATTCTTTCATTGGAGCATTATGAGCCCAAAGTTTCAAATCTCTTCTGTCAAAATGTGCAAAATGTAGAATGGGTGAACCTGTAAATAGTGCTGAATAGGAACGGACTTGGGTTGCAAACCTATGCTCACTTGATAATAAGCTGCATTAAAACAATAGCACATGCTAGAGTAAACATGTGCAATGGTAAAATGTTGTAAGGGTATAGTTCTATGCATGATTAGACAGAAGAAAGTTCTTAGCCTTCTCCAGCCAGGCAAGCTAACCATGGTTCCCTTTTAACAAGGAATTACAGTTTCAAATCAGTGTGGGTGTTTGCATATAGGCAATATGGTTTAATATGGTTTATTGCAAAGTTTCATTTTTTAACTATCATATGATTCTTGCCTTAACCTTGATAGTACATGAGATCACTTAACAACTTCCGAGCTGAGCAGCCACACCAGCATGCTATGTATTATCTTCGGCTATTAATGACAGAAGTTGCTTGGACCAAAGATGAATTAAAAGAAGCTTTAGATGGTAAGGGCTTTGCAAATGAGTTGCATTTGCTACTTAAGTTTAACTGCTTCTAATTTAAATTTGTTCTAAATGTATAATTAAAATTGTCTTTCGTTAGTCAAATGCTCCTTGTCTGAACTGAACCTATAATTTCATCTCATCCTTGAATAGATTTAGAGATAGAATAGCTTTGATAGGTCCTATAACTGCCAGCATTCTTCAGCCAGCTGTAGAACTTTTTCTGCCCAAGCACTCATAGGATTGTGCCCTTAATGTTTCTGTCCTATGAAATGTTTGGAGATTTTCAGTAATTAGATTGACTTGCAGATGGTTGGAAAACCTAGTAAATATTTAATGCTGTGAACGCCTCTGATTTAGCAACCAAATCTAGAATTTAGGTAATTCTTAATGATGATCATTTCTTGCAGAAGATAAATTAACAAAGTGTTAAGCACCTAGTGAAGCATCACTAAGAAAGTTTAATAAAATCATAAAAATGCTAATTAAAATATAAAATTCTATTGATGCGGTACCAAATCTTTACAAGGTTTAGCAGTATCTATATGGACCATGTCTTCTTCATAAAGAATGATAGTTTGATAAATGAATGAAATGCCTTTGTATTTGTAGAAAAGGCCAGTCATCATTATATATTAAATTGGATTGTGTTGTATTGAGTTCTCTGACTGTACCAATAAAAAACTACAGTGGTTCTTCATGGTCTCTTTGCATCACACATATGGGCTCTGTGCCTGTGCAGTACCTGTTGTCGGAAAGATTTCCAAGCCAGAGTCGTTCTGATTAGGAACCCTTTCCCTCCCTTCCCCTGGTATATCTAAGAGGTATATCCTGCCAGTTTTGAGCTCCCACTGAGACTCAACATCATCTATTGGGACTGAGGGAGGATCCTGCACCTGGACACTGGCATTCTCTGTCTCATGGCATGGAGTATTAATTGGTAGACCCAAAGGTTCCACTCTGTCCCAAGATACAGGAGGTCCTGGATGTAGCCATGCAGTCGAATAGAAGGCTCTTCTATGGTGCTAAATTGCCGTTACCACCTTTGCCCAACAGGAAGCCTTCAATCCATACCAGACATCCATCCACTAAATCCTTGGCTTCCTCCACATGCTACACACCAGAGGACTGAAAGTATCCCTCATCAAGGTTTACCAGTGGTACTGTTCCATGTAGCAGTCGACAGCTTCTCAGTCTTCATGTACCCATTGTCCTCCCATCGATTCATAAAAGGTTTGCAGGACCTTCACCTGCACTGCTGGTCATTTGGGCCAGGATGGAACTTACCAAAGGTTCTGCAGGCTCTCACAAAGCCACTCTTTTAGCTACTGGCCACTGTGGACTTGGGTCTTCTCTCTTGGAAGGTGACTTTTCATGTCAGCTAAGCAGATGAGTGAACGTTGCACTTTCCACATTGTGCCATCCATCAACCTTTCCTGTTTTTCCACAAGGACAAGGTGGTCCTGCAACCCAAAACATTGTTCCTCCCAAAAGTTGTGCCACCATTCCATAAGAATTTGAACAAAGTTTTGCTGGCTTTTTTTCTGATGCCATCGGACCTGGTAGAAGCTGCCTTGTACATGCTTGGACGTTTGCAGGGCATTGCTGTTCTATCAGTCCCCAGTCCCCTACCAGCTCCTCCGGCTGGTCCCAGAGACTGTTCATGTTTTATGGCAAATGATCCAAAAAAGCTGGTTAGCCCTAAAAGACTTGCACATTGGGTAGTCAAGACCATCATGCTAGTCTACCAGCTGTCCAGATGTCAGCTTCCTGAGCAACCCAGAACTCACTCTTATCAGAGCGATAGGGACTTCTACAGTGTTGCATGCTGACATCACACTGCAGGACCTCTGCAGACCAGCAACATGGTTTACTGCATTGACATTCATCCAGCACTACCATCCAACTCAATATCTGCACCAGGCAAGATTGCTCCTTCCGCAGAATGGCCCTATCAGCAGTTCTCTGCTGCACACCTTTGTCTTCAGGTAAACTTGCTAGTCACCCATATGTGTGATGCACAGAGACCATGAAGAAGAAAGGTTGCTTACCTGTAACTATTGTTCTACCACTAGCAGAAAAGGATGGGAGCCTTTCCTAGATATACCAGGGGAAAGGAGAGGAGAGATTCCTAGCAGAAATAGTCTAGCTTGAAAATCTTCTTGACAACAGGCCCCACACAGATTGAGAGCCCATATGTATGAATGCACAGATGACTACTCGAAGTATTTTTTACCACAGAAAATGCCTGCCTTTCTTTCCATATTCATTCTACTTGCTGGCAGTGATGACAGCTTCTACTCATACAGTTGTTGTCTGCTACTGATCCATATGCCTGAGCACAGATAGGAAGGAAGACATTTCCTTCATTGGTCCATCCCTTTCCCTTCCAGCATTTTTTCTCCACAAGCCACATGTTTAGTCTTGGCATCACACTACCCTCTCTATGGTGCTAGTGAGTCTGAATTATCCCTCTGTTTGTTTGTTTTTCTTCAGATCAATCATTCAGTTGGAAACAAATTCACACTACACTCAAAACAGTATTTTTGTGTGACTGGTTGATTGGACTGGTTATTCATCAGAATGCACATACATTCAGAGCAAAATAGCGTGTGTGCTTTCAGATATAAATTTTAACCCTTGTTTGCAGGTCATAGAAGGGTAACCTTAACACAGGTATATATTAAAGTTTAATTTCAAGCTGACCATTGACCATAAAAACTGCCATTTAGAAATAATAGCAAAGATGATTGAAATGCCTCACAGGAGAATGTTAAAACTGATGTACTTTCTGTAATTAACCACTTAAGTTTTATCTTTAGCCACCACCTGAGTGGCTATTACTATTTTTGAGTGTTGATTTGAGTTTAGCTTGATTGCAGTGCAGTATAATCTTTTCCCCCCTTTCCTTTCTTGTTTTTTAATCCTGGAATCTGGGTCACACAATATATGAATTCTAAGCAAGGCAAACTGCAGTGAGCCCAGCTATTTCGTCTTGGAAACTTTCCCAACATGAATGTTTGCAAAGAAAACACCCACTCTCTTTGGGTGATGATCCTATTTTTTCTTGAAGAAAAGCATTATATTTTAGGATGATATAGGGTTTTTCCCCTAAATGGAAAAAATGATTGATTTAAAATTTCCAAATATCTGTTGTAGATGTCACTCTTCCCCGCCTCAAGGCCTTTATTTCTCAGCTGTTGTCAAGGTTACACATTGAAGCACTTCTCCATGGCAATATAACAAAACAGGTTAGTTCTTATGGTTTTCTCCCCTGGCAGAGGCAAATCTGTATTTGTACTTACAGTCAAGGGTTTACTTAAGTTTTCCTTTCTATTAGTCTATATTGGGGGAGGGAGGTCACTTTTAAAATCTTCTTACTGTCAAATAGTTTTTCTGAAGGCTCTTTTTACAAGTTTCTTTGTTCATTATCACTGTTACTATCTATGTCTGCAAAAATGTGTAAAACATAATATGGGAAACAAGTATACCATAAATGGGAATGTTACCTAACTGATAAGAAGTCAGCAAAAGATAGGTATGTATCCTATTGCATTTGCTTGCAGTAGGTGCTCAGTGACTTCTGATTTGCTTATTATGCTTGCATTTGTGGTTAAGTCTTACTTGATTATGTGACAGTTTCCTTTTGCCTAGAATAATTCACCCTATAAACCCCACGTATTTCAGAGTAAAACTCATAGAAAATAATGGGACTTGTGGATAAAGTTAAATCCTATGCTGTGGGACAATTTGAACTGCATACCGTATTATGCATTCTTAATTCAGTAAGCCTGAAAAAATAATGACTCCAGCCAGGACACTCTATGCCATGGGACTGGTGAGCAGGCTTGGGGAGTGATGAGGAGGACTGCTGCACTGCACTTTAAGACCTGATGTTACTACAACTGCCCACCCTATCTTCCAGCTTTCTGCATAGCCCCAACATAGTCCATCAGTGCAGAGTGCCTGCACCTGGCCTGGCGATCCAGCAGCCTCCTTCTCAGCATAAAGGCAGGCCTGATGCTGGGTAGCAGGTCACCCCAGCAGGAGCACCCCCAAGGGGGATGCCACTGAAGGGGCACACCCATTTGTTTTGCCCCTTTGGGATGCCGTGAGGGTGCCCTTCCATTTATCCCTCACCTTCCTCTGCTGATGTGGCCAAGGCCTGGAACTGTGCCTGGGAGGGAGGGAGGGAGGGAGTGGGGCCAAGTGGGGAGATGGTGGGAGTCCCACTCAGCATAGTGACAGGTGGAGGGAGGTATGGTGCTGAGAGGAAGACTGCCCAAGTAAGGGGAACACAGCTCAACAGTTAGTGGCTGTGCTGCGTTCTGGTCTTCCTTCCACCCACAGGTTTGATAATTGCCATGCCAGCCTGCCCTTAGGTCTCTGGATGCTTCTTTTAAATGCAAGATCAGTACAAAATAAAACATGCCTCATCCATGATTTAATTGGTAATCTGGAGAGCAATGTAAAGTTGGTTTCCTTCTATACCAGCCAGTGTCATGAGGCCATCTTACATATTTGCTCAAAGTAACAGGAGTTAATTGACTATTTATGTTGGAGGGAAGAAGCCTGATATAATGGGAAGAAGAGTATAGTATGTATGTGGAAAAACCTTCAAGTACTAAATTTGTAGAAAAAGTGCACAGACAACTGTTCACAGAAAGAAATAAAAGGGAAAATGCAGATGGTTCTCACCACATCCAGTACCCTAAGTCAACGCCTCCCTAAGTGTTGAAACACAGTTTCAATCACCTGGTTTAACGAGGTGAGAGATCTTTACCTAGAGAGTCAGGAAAGTGAATGGTATAAAGTGATACTGCTGCACAAACAGCAAATGCCACCTCCTCCTCCTCTACTTCAGGGTTGTAAAGCCCTTTCACTATCTCTAGAAACTGACTTCTTCATGGGTTTGATCTCAAAGTCACTTTGAATTAAAACAAGCACTGAATAAAAAACTTTACAATAATGAGTAACACATTTACATTATGTGTAAGGAATCATAGTAAGAAGCTTTTAAAAACAAAAAGTCTTATCAAGTTGTATTCAAAATTAAATAGTTCAGTCCAAACAGAATGAAAGCTTTTAAAAGCTAGCTTTTATTTAAAAAATAACAAACTCGCCAAGTTATTTAAAAGGCTGTATTCAAGATGTCCAAATTCAGATGTCGACTACTAGGGCAGAATAACCAATTTGCAGTTAGGAGAATCTCATTTAAAATGTGTTTAAAAGTCAAATGCAGAAAGTCAAAATTGGGATCTCCCATCACACGATGAAATCAATCCAGGCTGAGAATATTGAGGAGGGATCAACTTGGCAAATGTCTAGTAAGGGAAGAGAACTACAGACTATTTAGTGTCATGTACTAAGAAGCAGAGGTCAGAGATCAGATATGCAACATGTTTTTGGTTTTGTTTTTAGATAGTTTAGGGGATTTTTAAAGCACTCAAAAATAATACAGGAATAAATTGGGACAGGAATGAATAATGGCATGTGTTTGTTGCTTTCCATTACATGTACTTAACTCTTTTCCATTTCTGATATTGCCATTTCCTAAATCACTGTTCTATGTGTTACAAAATGGAGAATTAATGAATAAAAGCTGCAATGAATTTATTCTCTTGTAGGCTGCATTAGGAGTTATGCAGATGGTTGAAGACACTCTGATTGAGCATGCTCATACAAAGCCCCTGCTTCCTAGCCAGCTAGTAAGATACAGAGAAGTACAGTTGCCTGATAGTAAGTCTTCCTTCTGGATTTAAGTTACAAACTTCTCATTTAAATATGCAATGTATGGTGTATAAAACTTGAAATAATTCAGGGCAAATATCCTTTCACTCATCTCCAATTTGTTTTTAGAAGCTGACTTGACTTCAGCAATATTGCAAAATGATTTGCTTGCAAAAATAACTTTGTTCTGTGATGTGAATCATTTTGTGTGCAGTATCCAGCATTATTGAATACAATGCAGCATAACTATGCAGTGAAATGCTATAATTTGCATTTGAGTTTCAAATAAATATCCAGACTTTATTCATAGGTCACCAAGATAATGCAGTCCAAGGCTGTAAAACTGATAGCAACATGTAGAGAAATGCAGATTGGCAAACTTTAGACCATTTGAGCACTAGCTGCTAATGTCCAAATTGGAACTTCTGCTTATGAACCATTAATTGGCACCGATTAAGGCATTTATGCATCTAATCAACAGATATTGCCAGAAGCTAAAGTCCTTCATTCATGAATTAAAGCAGTGGTTCCCAATCTTTTTTCACTTGCGTGTCCCTTGGCAGCCTATTTCTGTAACTTGTACCCTTTATATTAGCAAAATATTTCTAATTAATATAGTTGCTGTTATTTCAAATTTTTATGTTGTAACTGTAAATAAAATATCCCAGTACTGGACTAAAAGACAATGGAACAATATGTTGAAGAGACAGTGCATATATTCAAAACTCAAAAGATAGAATGAATTTAAGTAAATATATCACAGATTACATAAAAATTACATTAATATGTTACATTTGTTAGTTTATTAATAATATTTAGTAATTAATGATTATTAATACAAGTTTATAGTATTAGTTTAATATTAGTTTATTAATATTAGTTTAGTATTAGTTTATTAATAATAATTAATAATAAACTAAAACATTGAAAATGTTTATGTTTTGAAATAATATTTATAAAACAGAACAAATATTTTATACACAACATATGTTTAGTGTGATCCTTGAGCTTGTTTTGAGGCACATAGTTTTTAAAAATCAGGTTCAACTGATGTCAGATACAGTCTTAAATGTGGTACTGCATTCAGCTTACTACAGTATTTATTTTTTTATAAAGGTATAAGAAGAGAAAGGCTTCTCAATCAGCTCAGTATTTGTAAATGGCAAAAGAAATTTAAGAGCCTTGTCAGAACGGCACTTTTCCTGAGGTCAAATAACAAAGAAAACCTGCTCTGAATCGTTATAACATTCAATTAATTTCACACCTTTTGATTTGTATCCCATCTTACACTGCTGATGTATGTGCCTTTTTCTGCCATTATTTGATTTTTTTTTTCATGTACTCCTAATGTCCTGGTTCATACTCCTGGGGGTACACATAGCCTGGGCTGGAATCACTGGATTAAAGGAACCATGGCTAAAAATAGTATTTCATTTCAATCCATGGAACTGCATATATATATTAAATGAGATTTATTTAGTGTTCTGCACTAGTGTACATTGGACAGAGTATGTACATCATTCAGCTCAAATTCTGCCTGTGATAAAAAGTGTTCATTATCTTTCAAAAATAACTTGTACATCTTTTGTGTTTTTGTAGGAGGTTGGTTTGTCTATCAACAGAAGAATGAAGTTCATAATAATTGTGGCATTGAAATCTATTATCAAACAGATATGCAAAGTACTTCAGAGAATATGTTTTTGGAGCTCTTTTGTCAAATAATCTCAGAGCCTTGCTTCAATACTTTACGTACTAAAGAACAGTTAGGTAAGCTTTAACTTTACTCCGTAGACAATGCATAACCTTGAATTGTTATGAGAAGCAGGTTCCTTTTCTGCTTTTCACTAAGAATCTCACCTGTAGATGAGCTGATGCTATTTAAAAAAAAAAAAATGACCAGTGATCTTCTCTGTGTGTGTGTGTGTGTGTGTGAGTGCGTGTGCACGTGCACGTGCATGCGCACACAGCTAACTAATGAGTTCAAATAGGCTTTTCCCTAAGCCACCTCCACAAAGCCCTATTTGGGGCCTTCTGCTAGACACCACCAGCAAGAGCACAACCAGTGGTAGCTTTCTGCCGACTGACCCTTTGGTTCTACAGTGACAGAGTCTGTCCCCTCCAGAAACAGAACTCCTTCCCAACTCCTCTTCCAGGCGACATAATGCGGGTAGGATTGCCCAAGGTTAATTATGAATGTCTAAATGGGATTGAACAATGTTAGTTATGATTAAAAAATACAAGGTTTGTTATGAATATCACAATGCCTGTTCACTTGTTGTGAGAATATGAGGAGACAAATACGAGAACGTAATGTTCAAAGGCAGAATTCAAGGAAGGAAATACAAATCTTTTCTTTCTCTTTTGATTACAGTTACTAATAGGCTGAATTTATTTTTTTTCTAAGGTTATATTGTGTTCAGTGGTCCGCGACGGGCTAATGGTATCCAAGGTCTGAGATTTATCATCCAGTCAGAAAAACCACCACACTACTTGGAGAGCAGGGTTGAAGCTTTTTTAAAAACCATGGAGAAGTGTATAGAAGACATGTCAGAAGAAGCCTTTCAGAAGCATATCCAGGCTTTAGCAATTCGTCGCCTTGAGAAACCAAAGAAGCTGTCTGCTGAGTCTGCAAAATACTGGGGAGAAATAATTTCCCAGCAATATAACTTTGACAGAGGTAAGAATAGCTGAACTGTACCCAAAGTGAAAAAGTAAAATTTCTAGATAAAGGAACAACTCAGACCACCTGAAGTGTCCACCATGCATAATAAAATAATAATATTAAATAGGGTCAAAAGGGTCAAATTTAATAGGGCCAATATTCAGTAGGATCAAAGGCATAATTCTGGAGTACTGCATGTAACTATTTTCAAAATATTTATTTACTTGCCCCAGTTAGGCCACATTCCTTGCCTGAAACTTGCCCTGCATGGATTCATATTTGATTACTGATGTGGTACATACCAGTTTATATTTGTGAAAGAGTGGATTGTGTATTGCAGAAACCCTAGTCCTCTCCCTTTCCCTCAGGCTTAGAAAAAAGAGGTTTGATGCATACCTGGAAGTCCTGATCCATTGACTGTAGTTACACCGTAGAAATGTTGCATGTACACAAGCATTGACCTTCTAAGATAGAAATAGCTCCAATGGCAAACATGCTGAGATGTTACTAAACATATGGATTGCATGGTTAAATTATTTTTATAATCATTTTTCATTCAGATAACATAGAAGTGGCATTTCTCAAAACTCTCACTAAGGATGATATAATGCACTTTTATAAGGTAAGTTGTACATAATATTTATTATTGGTCTTTTTGGAGCTTTTCCTATTGACTTTAGGGCAATATATTTATAATGCATATAATGCAATAAGGCCCATTATATGCCTTTTCAAATGTGCCTGTTATAAATGCCTATCTGAATTCTATTTGAATTCAGGTAGACTAAGTATAAAAATGTTAGGTTGCATACTTGACTAGTTGACTGCACATTAATAACATTTTTGAATATTTTAAGTTTTTGCTTTTAATCCAAATTATTTTGTTCAAGATAAAAATATTTCCTGATTAATTTTCAGTCACTCAACAGAATTACATTTACATTGTATTTATGCAATAGCAACTTTTTTCCTCTTGTGAGAAACCCAGCATGGCTTACCTAGCTCCATTTTATTCTCACAACAACAACTCTGTGAGGTTGGTTAGGCTGAGAATGAGTGACTGACTCAAAATCACCCAGTAAACCTCAAGGCTGAGTGGGGACTAGAACCCAGATCTACCAGGCCTCCAGTCCAGCACTCCTACCACCACACCACACTAGCTCCTTGTTCTTGCACTCACTCTCCCTCTCTCCTTCTCAACGACCCTACATATGTTTTGGTCTCTAGTTATGCACCTAAATACTTTTCAGAAGTGAGAGGTAGATAAGAACTCTACCCTTAGTTGTTTAACCAGCTGCTGCAAGGCACATAGTCACCTTGAAGACATATCTGCAGCCAGGATTAAGTACTGCAGCTGACATTGGGTAGGTTCCCACATGACAACATCTTCCCTAGAAATCAGCAACAGTGGATTAGCTGTTCTGCAAATAATCCATGACGAGCCTGACAGATAATTGAACTCCCTGTGAGTTCTTTGCTCCCTCCCTCTTCATTCCCTTCTTCCAGGTAATATCCCAGGAGACACTGTGACAGGACCAAGTAATCTCTCTTCCTACTGCAACTGAGAACTGTTTCTGGCTCACTGCTTTTGTGTGTTTTAAACTTTCTTTTTCAGAGGTTGTGAAAGGCAGCTGTCAAGCCACATGTTCTAGCCAAAACATGCCTATTGTTCTGCCAAAACCCTTTTTAAGGGGGATCCAGCATTTTGACAGCCTGCTTCTGTCTAGGGAAAAAGGGGAAGGGGGCATTTTTGTACTTTCTCAATTAAGGGTCTTGGGGAGAAGTGCAAACTCTGCAGCATCCTGAGAGCTACTGGAACACTGACAGCAGCAGCAGGTCTTGTGAAGACAGTTGTAAATCTTACATCCCCTTTTTTTCAAACAGTTTACTCATGCCTTTTGAAGCAACCAAATCAAAGTGAGAAAAAAGTCTTTTTGGATTCTGAGTCCATAGGTAGTGCTGGTACCTGCTACAGTTTAGCAGGAAGTACTCCCTACCCTGACACTGTCCAGTTGAGGCTCCCCATTTGCCAGTCATGGACAGCCCTTCCAGGGTGCTGTTTGGGCACTTTGAATGGGTTGTTAGTGGCTGTGAAGCTGGCTTCTATAATCTACAAGGAAACTAATAATAATGATAACAACAACATGCACAAAGCCACAGGGAGCTGAAAATGTATCTCAGTTGTGACAGGAAGAACACCAAGCTGGTGCCATCCACCCTGAGTGCTACATTGGCATTTATGATGCAGCTGGCACTGGCAGTGTCCAGGGCAAATTCAGGAGCAGTGGCAAGGGGTTTTTTGTCATTCTTGCTGAGCATATTGCTGGCTGCTGGACATTATCCATGGTGGGATCAGTTGTCCCCATTTGGAGAACATGACAAAGTTCTGTGGGTAAAACAACCACTAGAACTGCCCATGGGTTCTCAGAGTGGCTTGCTTGAAAATAGTTATCCCATAAGCAGAGCTCTCTTTTCTAAGCTTCAAAAGAAATTAGGAGGGTGGTTACTCGGAGGAGGGCTTTCTCAGCAGTGGCGCCTAAGTTATGGAATGCGCTCCCCAGAGAGGTCCGCCTGGCGCCGTCGTTATTTGTTTTTCGGCGCCAGGCAAAGACCTTTTTATTTAAGCAGCATTTTAAATGTTAATACTATTGAATTTTATCTGGCCAGGGCGGCTTATTTTATATTGTATATTGTATCGTGTGTGTGTGTGTGTGTGTGTGTATTAAATTATTATTATTCTAATATATATATATTATTTTTTATTTGTGTGTTGTAAGCCACCCTGAGGCTTCGGCGAATGGGGCGGCATAAAAATGTCTTAATAAATAAATAAATAAATAAACCATCTGAAATCAGAGATATACTGCTCCATAACCTGTGCCCTGTTATCTTAGTTGTGTGTCTTCATATGGGATGTACATACTGATGATGGTGTGCTGTGATGGGGAGTTCAGTTATATCATATTTGGTGCACTTTTGGGGAAATATAGATTGTCAACATGGGTGTAATTTTTTTCCCCTTCCCATTAAAATCAATGGAAAGGACATTATTTGCAACAAGGGTGAGACTGGTGTTAAGTTATAGTCATGGTCTGGATCAGCCTTCTACCAGTTTTGTAACCTTCAGATATTTTTGACTACTCCTGTCAGTTTCAGCCAGCATGGCCAGTAGTCAGAAATGATGGAAACTAGCCCAAAACAAACGGAGGGCATCAGGTTGTAGAGAGCTGTATGATATGGTGTGTACTCTCCTGCCCATTTGAGCCATTCCATCTGTATTTCTGGAGTGTGCTGCCAGAGTATCTGTCATGGCAGTGATGGATCTGCATTGTTACTGTGGTGTAGCAGGTCCTCTGCCAACTCCTCTGGCCTACTTGGCCAGCAAATACTAAATGTAGGATTGCTTTATGAATTAATTTATACATTGCCAGTAATATAGTTATACTGTATTGATCATGTTTTTCCTATTGTATCCCACAGAATGGGTAGTAAGCTTTTTAGAAAAGAAATGTTTTAATATCATGGCATATTGTTAGGCTGCACTAAAGGGGTTTTTTTTCCCCCAAAAACAGTTATTTTTCCATTGAACTGAACTTGAATATTTGAAATCAGAAGACTGAATTTCAGTTTCTAAACTAAGATTGAACTCAACCTTGAAGTCTGTTGCATCGAAACATCATGCCAGAGTTTTTTCCAAGTTCTGTTAGTATTTTCCAAGGCTTGTCAAGGCAGATGGCAACACTGAATAAACTGAATAAAATATTGCTTTTACATTTCACATAACTGTAATTGGACATGTATACTGCAGTCTAATATTCAGCCAGCCAGTCTATGTTGTAGGGAAGTAGAAACAGACATTCCTCCCCAAACTTACTTGCACAATTAAGGTTGCAATCTATGGATGGTAGAATATTCTCTAACTAGAAGACAGGATCCCATATAAATATTTTGAAGCAAGCTTCTCCAATAAATCTTTCGGAGCTGATTAGTGCTTCAAGAAAAAGATAATAACATATCTGTTTGTCCTTTGTACACAAAAAGTGCATTTTCTGAATAAACTGTCAAAATAATTTTGTGTTGTAGCAGAGCAGTAGGTGACCTACACTGTGAAAAATGCAAAGTGTGATTTCATGTTATAAATCATTTTTGTTAATATTTTATTAAGAATAAAGCATGTTTTATCTTGACTTACTCTTTTCACAGCTCATTCAGTTAATGAAGCTTCTGATAAGATTCAAGCAACTGATAGCTAGATTAATTTTAAATTACTTATTTTGCCATACACTCTAATATTGGTCTTAAACATTGCTAATATTAACCATTTGCAAACAGTTTTTCTTACTAATAAATGTTCTGATTTCATCACATGGCATACTTCTAATCTTCTGCACTGTGATTTCATTTATCTTCACATAATGCTCAGGGAGACTTTGGTAAACTGTATGTCATAGCTCTTTTGTAGCAGTTGCAGTGGGGTAAGGGAGTTAGAGGCATTGACAGGCTGCCAGTGCCGAGGACCAGAGAGAGCCCAGGCAAGTCAGATTTATCATGGAACAGGTACTTTCCTATGCCGAAGAAGCAACTCATTTTGCAAAAGTGTTAGCAATTCAAAATTGTTTTTGTTGTCCTAGGAAACATGCCCATGAGAACATAAGAAACTGAATAGCAGTGACTGAATATTGTAGTGCGCATAGGCTTCTTTATTCCTATCTGCATAAATGATGCATCACTCAATATATCACTGGATATGTCACTCTAGTGGCCTGCTTGGGCCAGGCATCTTTACTCAGGGTTGGTAGATCTCTTTTTACTGTGGAGTCTGCAGAAAACATTATTTGTCTCTGTTGGAACAAGTGAACTTGATCTTTTTTCCTATAGGAGCTCTTGGCAGTAGATGCCCAACGAAGGCACAAAATATCAGTCCATGTACTAGCAAGGGAAATGGATTCCTGTAAGTACAGAACATGTTTATTTACTTTCAGATAATCTGTGTTTAAATCAGCACCATAAAGCAGTTTATAGTGCAGAGCAAACATGATGTCCTGCAAAACACAGTTCTGGAAGAATATTATGACCTCTAGTGGATGGGTAGAAATATATTCAGTTATATGAATTCTAAAGCATAAGATGTGAGAAACATTCTGGTGCTTATAGATTTCTGGGCAATGTAAAGAGCCTTGCCTTGCACCATCTGCTTAGAATGTTTTATATGTAATGAGATGTTTTAACAGAGATTCAGATAGCTTTTTAAATTTGTTATTTAAATAGGCCCTGTTGTGGGAGAATTTCCATGCCAAAACGATGTAAATCTGGCACCGGCACCAGTGCTGCCACAGGTAAGAGGGAGGTTTTTCTACAACTATTTATAAAGGAACTGTTTGTGCCCAAGATACTGTCCATAAACCATGGTTACTAAACTCTAAGCCTGATCCAGTGCATGTTCGCTCAGATGTAACCTTCACTATGTTCAAATGGAACTTCCTCACCTGCCTCAAAGAAGCAAGTATGAAATTAAAGATACAATTTGTTTGATTTAAAATAAATCGACATTTCTTTCTTGGCCTTTTTATTTTATATGAAAACCATTGAAGAGCCAAGAGCTGCTTCAGATATTTGTATAGAGTGACCTATGCACTCATGGGCTGACCATGTCCATATTAATGAAGTAAAGACTAGTCTCATATCTGTGTCTGTAGATACAGGTACTGCTCTTGGTGGTAATTTACATGAGCCCAAAGATACTCGTTTCAGCAAGCAGATCATAAAAATCGCCAATTGTTCCTGGAACCTCTCCAGCTGCAATTCGTGAAGCAATTTTACTAATATCTGAACCAGTTTTTAGATACTGAAAAACTAAATGGGAGTATGGCAGTAATACAGATTTTTTCATGGAGATTGGGGGTTTTTGAGGGGAAATGGACCCTTGAACAATTTCAGATTTTTTGTGCCTTGACTCAATAACCATTTCTAGATTCCAGCCTCTGTCCTAGAACCCATTTTAGCTGAGGTTCCATGTTATTACCAATTGATTGCCATTTGTTTATTGATCCATTTGGTTATTAGTGGTTGGCTTCTCACTAGAGAGTTCTGTGCTGTCAGTCTGCTTTGGAAGTTCTGCAGCCTTCTAGATATGCAGGATCTTGACTGCAGTTATTGAATAGTGAGGGAAATCTGCAGATAAAGGCATCCTTTTTTCGCTTGTTCCAGGTCTAGTTTCTGGTACTGAAAATAAGTGTCATCCCCTGAAAACAAGGGATGAAGCTTGGCTCAGATAAAGCTAGTTCCTATGGCCATTTGGGAATGATCTAGCATGGTGTCTACCAAATTCGAACAACTTTTTCTTTGGAAGGATATATTACTTTTCCAAGATTGTGAACTGTTCTCATAATCTGTTGGATACCTAGCTTTGCATCAGTGTTGAAAATATTGGGATTAACCTTTAAAAGGAGGTCTTGTGTAGCAAGAACTGAATGAGAGTACTGTTTTCTGGTATCCATTTTTCAACACACATTTAAGATTCTGTTTTTCTTCTATTGATAGAAGTAAACACAGATTAATTTGCCACAGATTGTACATATGTGAGTGCTCTGTTCTTAAAGTCTCTCTCTCTCTCTCTCTCTCTCTCTCTCTCTCTCTCTCTCTCTCTCTCTCTCTCTCAAATGCTTATTTGCAGCCAGCCGTGATTCAAAATATGACGGAGTTCAAGCGCAGTCTACCACTCTTTCCTCTGGTGAAACCTCATATCAATTTTATGGCTGCAAAACTGTGAAGAGAATTGCTGGGTGAAGAACTGGAAGTGATCGGTCTTGTTGACTTCAGTTGGTTTTCACAATGGAAGAATATATTAAACATTGTTAGGACAAGCAATCCTGCCCATCCTGAGGTTTCCTGATTCCTTCTAGGTTCATTCAGCATCAATGGTGTGATAGGGATACAGAAAATTAGGAAAATAGGCTGTAGTCATGTGTCATGTTTATTGTAGAGTCACTCTTCAAAACCACAATCAAGTGGTATATTCAAAGGTCTGTGTCTGTATGGTATATTTTACAATAGTGTGGCCTTTTAAAGGCTTTGTTTGCATAATAGAATACAAAGGTTTCAAACTTTAAACTTGTTAAAGGTGTTTTTTTTTCTTATGAAAGGTCCTTAAGATTAAATATTGTGGGTTCTTCATCGTGGTCTCCGTGCATCACACATACAAGGGTGTTGCGCCTGTGCAGTGCCTGTCATCGGGAAGATTTAAGAACTTTAATGGTTTTTGGACCTCCGGGGATGACTGCCCAGCAGGGTGGAGGAGTTGGCGATCTCTCAGGAAGACGATCTGGTCCCAACCGGGGACGAGATTCACGGATCTCAAAGCTCAAGCCAAGGGGTCGGAGTGCTCGGGACTGGAATGTCCCGAGATGGTAATCCACGGAGGTGATGCTGGAGGTGTCACCTGCATAACCGACTGGCGGCTCAGAGGTTCAGTCAGTACTGAGATAGGCACAACACTCCATTCAGAGCGAGGCGCTTTGTCGTGCTTCTTGTGCTGACGCTTGGATTTTTCAGGTTTGTCCTTCTTAGGATGTGTTGGTTTCCAGGGGTCCTTGGACCCGACATGCTTCCTCTTCTCCTTATGTTTACATGGAGGAGAATGGTAGGAATGCTTTCCATCTGTGCCTGTGGAATCTCCTTCGGATGGATGAGAGGGGATAGTTTTCGAAGGTCCTGAAGCTGCAGAAGAGCCGGTCTCAGCCAAGACCTGCTTCATGGCAACCAGAGCCTGGTCCCATAGCATTTTGCGCAGCCGGTTCTCGTGGTTTTTGCACGCCTGCCTCATGTACGATTGGCATTGGCTGCACTTACCAGTCCTGTATCCTTCTCCAAGGCAGAGAAGACACGGAGTATGAGGGTCAGTGGGAGACATTTTGGCTCCGCACTGCACACATTTACAGAAAGTCGCCTGCTGTGCCATCGAGAAGAAAAAGAGGAGATGCAGCGAATGGAGATAGATTATAAGAGGTAAAGATGATAGAAAGACTTTTTTAAATTATTTTTTTATTTGGAAGGGGGAGGAGGAGGGGGGAAAAGCAGAGGATAAAGGAGGGGTTCGGAAAGGCGAAACAGCGGGTTTTAGGGTTTAGATAGAGGTTAAAGAGAAGTGAAGGAAAAAAGGGTTTAAGATTTATAGAAGTAACAATTGTAAAAGAGAGGAGACAAGCGAAAAAAGGCCAGAGGCACGGCAAACTGCGCTCACAAGCAGACTGGGGAGAGGGCGGGCACTCTGACCATTTATACTACGGGGTGGGGGGAAGTGGAGTTCCCACCAAAAACCATTAAAACTCTTAAATCTTCCCGGCAACAGGCACTGCACATGCACAGCACCCATATATGTGTGAATGCACGGATGACCTCTCAAAGAACGACAGTTACAGGTAAGCAACCTGCCTAACTAGTTTTATTGGAGATGGAGGAAATATGATGAAATGGCTCATATTGATTCTTCTAAAGAAAGGATGGAATGATACTATTAAAAACAATACAGTTGTCAAATTCAACCAGCTGTTTAGGTTCTGTACAAAATCAGTGGAGATTGGGGGGGAATTAACAAATGTTTTTGACAGAAGAAGAGTTGCTAGGTATCTTAACATAGTTTTAATCTTTATACATGTTTGAGAACATTTTATATTCAGACTAGTAAAATGCTGGAAACACTTGGGTAGCTATCTTTTTATTGCCAAGTGTGCTACCTTTTGTTTATAACCTTTGCATTTTCTCAGGATCACTCTGACAATGTTTCCTTTCATTTACATAAATAAAACTATTTTGCCTTTTTTTTCCTTCCAGTTGTTCATGTACTGTTTTAGATATCCCATCAGGCTTGCCTTGTTTCTTTAGTGTATGTCTTGTCAAATGGATTTCAATTTAAACCGTGAGTATGGGACAAACTCCTGTGTAAATACATATGGCTGATGTCTTAATTTGACACATGCATGGAATTCAACAAATGCACTGTTTGAACATCTGGGGCTGGGTGGTACAGCTGATGAGAACTTTTGCATGACCCAGCTGCTGCACTGGTCTCACAAAATGTGACACGGCAGTACCTTAATCTGCACCTGCTTTAAAATGCTTGATAAAAGCTTTCAGAGTACACAGCAGTCTCTCTCAGGCTTAGATGTTCAAAGCAGGAAAACAATGTGCTGTTAAAACATTAGCCTAATATTTATTTAATCCATGTCCAGCACCTAAACATTAGCCTAATAACGCAGCATCAAATTAAACCTGACCCAAATCCCATGTGCTCAAAACAGCCTTTCACGACATGTGTCCTCCAGATGTTCTGGACAACCTCAGTCATGCCTCACCACCATTGGCTATGCTCTCTGAGTCTGATGGGAGTTGAAATCCAAAACATCTGGAGAGTACCAGATTGGTGAAGGCTGTCTTAAAAGTGTGCAATGAATACTTTAATTATAGTCTAAATATGGATCATGAATCACTTTTATTTGGCATATGTGCATCACACATATGGGTGCTGCGCCTGCACAGTGCCTGTGGCCGAAAAGATTTAAATCTTAACGGTTTTGGCGGGAACTCTGCACCCCTCCTCCACAGTGTAAGAAGGCGGAGTGCCCGCCATTTCCTCAGTCTTCTTGCAACCGCTGTTCGTTGTGCCTTGAGCCTTTCGTCTCTCAGTTTGTACTACACGTTTATCTAGTTACTGCTATCTCTCTTAGATTGTTACAATTCCTAGTTTTTTCCCTCCCTGTTAGAAGTTTTCTTCTCATTCCCCTTTCCTGTTTTTTGAAAAAAAAAATACAGTTCATCTTTCTTTATTCTTACCTTGCTATCTTCTCCTTTTTCCTTCCTTGATGGTGCAGCATGCGGCTTTCCGCAAGTGCTCTCAGTGCGAATGTAAGATGTCGCCTACCGAGCTGCACAATCTGTGCCTTCTCTGTCTTGGAGAAGGGCACCGGACTGATAAATGTGGCCATTGCCAGGCCTTTACTAAGCAGGTGAGGAAAAATCAAGAAAACCGTCTGCGCAGACTCTTGTGCGACCAAGCCCTGCTCCAATCCGACCAGCTGGCAGGCAAATCTGCTGCTCCGTCCTCCTCTTCCACTACACCTCCTCCCCGCCCATCGGCTGATGGTGCGTCTTTGCCGGAGAGTCAATGCTCCTCTACATCTCCACATAAGCAAAAGGAGAAGAGGAAGCATAGTGGATCATAGTGGATCAGACAAGTCCTCGGGCCATAAGAAGTCTAAGAAGGACAAGACGGCTCGCAAATCTAAGAAACCTGACCGTTCCCAACACCATGACTCGGGTTTGTCCGCTCCATCGATCCCGACGGCCACTTCAGTACTGACACCGACCGGACCGGCTCTTCAGTTGGCCATGCAAGTGACCCCGCCCAGGTCTCCAAGACGGATCGCTCCTTCTGTTCCATCTTCGCCTGTAAGAGATTCCCTTGTTGGGATCCATCTCTGACAGAGAGATCCGGGACTCTCCCCCAATGGCTCACTCACCTACTCCCCAGCAGTCACTCGAGCCTTCCCCGAGGGCCCCTCCTCAGCAGGTGTGATGCCAGCAGTGCGCCTCCGTCCGTCCCTCAGAAGATTGGGTGCAACCCCATAGGCCAACTCATCGCAAGCCACAGGATGACTATCCACCCTACGGCTATTACCCTTCGGTATGCAATCGTACCCTCTCTCTGGACCTGAGAGACGCTCCTTTGACTTCCAGAGCGGCTCTGCCCAGGCACCCTACCTCGCCTGTTGATTCCTCCTCCAGCCTTCTGCCTCACTACAACTCGGACTTGGAGGACTCCGAAGTAGCTTCTACTTTACCGGATGCTGTGATCTCCACTCAAGGTCCCAGCTCACCGGAAGAGCCTTATGTAACCTTTGGGGAACTAATAGTGAGACTTACAAGGTCACTTGAGACTGAAGCCCAGCATCGCTTCGATCCCAATACCGATAAATTCTATAATATTGTCAAGGGTGAACAGTCTGCTGCCATCATCTTGCCGCTGATCACCACTCTCCGCCAGGCGATGATGGAGCCATGGAATTATCCCATTCAGCCTCCACCAACTTCGCGATGCTATGAATCCATGTACCAGGTCCATAAGCAGGATATTCCATTCTTCCTACGTCACTCAAGACCAAACTCGATCATAGTAGAGTCGTCTCAAGGCCACGAGTTGAGGGGACACACCACTCCTCGCCATAAGGAAGGGTGTAAAATCAACATGTTGGCTTGCTGCATCTATGTCACCACAGGTCTTGGCCTCCATATTTCTAATTATGAGGCTACTGTAGCTCGATATCAGTATTTTCTAATGCAGAAATTAGAAAATATCACAGCGTCACTTCCGGATCAACAAAAAGACCTGACCCGAATTTTCATCAAGGAGGCAATGCAGGTGTCGATCCAGCAACTCTCCATGGTGAGACACCATGTCGACTGCAACTCTAGGGCTCTCGTTGGTGCTGTAGCCCTTCATCGCCATGCCTGTTTCCGGAATTGCAACTTTCTGGACGAGACAAAGCGCCAAATCGAGGATATGCCTTTCAACGGCTCAGGGCCTTTCAGTGCCCGGACGGACCACAAGATGAAGACAATCCATGAGTCGAGCGTTACAGCTCGCCGGATGGAAGTCCCTAATCAGTCTCGCCATAAGTGGTCTTGGTTCCATCCATCCTACCGATACCAGCCCTATTTGCAATTTTCGGGCCAACAACAATTCCAGCCTTGTCAACAGCGCCGGAAGCAACAACAGCTGTGCTTCCAACGGAGCTGTCACCCCCCGACTCTGACAAATGCCAGCGCTGACGCTCTCCTCTCCTGAACCCACCTTCCCCTCTTCCTTTTGGGGATCGGCTGCAAAGTCAGGAGTCCATCACATCTGATCAGTGGGTTTTATCCATCATACAGCACGGATACAGGATCAAGTTTGATATTATACCTCCGCCAGGACCGATCCGATTTATGCCTCAGTCATTGGTTCTCGTTGACAAAGTTCAACAGCTTCTTCGTAAAGGAGCGATTCGGCAGCTTACACACTCTGAGGGGCTCCACAGCTTCTACTCGAGATATTTTACGGTTCCTAAGTGTGACGGTGGTCTTCGTCTGATACTGGACCTACGTGACATCAATAGGTTCATCAAAACCAAGAAATTTCAGATGACCACCCTTCAAAATATTCTTCCGTTGCTTAGGAGAGAGGATTGGTTCACTTCTCTGGACTTATAAGATGCCTATTGTCGTGGGCGGGCAGCCTGGCATGCAAGCAATCCAGCAATAAAACTAAAGTCCTTTAATGCTAATTACCTACATGATTTACAACTCTATAGATAAGCCCTTCAATTGAGGTCCTTGATATGCAGATGTTAGCCCTCTAATGGCTTCTCTCCCCGAGCCCACGTGGGTCTACTCCTCTAAGTCACGCCTTTCCTCCCTCTTAGTAACAAAGATTGTTGCTGTTCATATCTTCGTAAAATTTGGCGATTGGCTGCTCGAGAGAAATCCACCCACTGAGTCTTCAGTTTCATCCTCGGGGAGATCAGCGTCAGAGGGGGAAGGAGCAGTTCACTCTGCCTCCTTCTGAGTAGAACTTGTAGTCTCCTCTTTCTTGGGGCTCTCTGGCTTCGATGAGGGCTCAGGCATTTGCTCAATGGGCTGGGAGTCAGAGGGAGGTGCAGCTGCTTGCTCATCCGCCCCTAGACTTGGTTGTGGGGTCGGCTTTTGGGCACAGGGTGCCAAGCACAAGACCTCCTCGTGAGTCACTGTCTCTGTTGGGGCTGCATGCACGACACCTATTTCCATATTACCATCTATCCATAGGCGTCTTCTTCGATTCACTATCGGTTCCAACCTCTTTGAGTATAACATTTGATGAACCATGGGGTCCCTTCAATACCAGCGGATTTAGGGGCCTCCTCACCAGCCCAACATCGTTCCGATACAGCTCCTTCTCCTTCGATACCCAACCGCTCTGCATCCCGATATCTAATTCATTCTCCAGTCTGCGCTAAGACCTGCAACCCGCCGATCTTACGCAGCCAAATGGAAGCACTTTACAGCTTTTGCTGAACCCAATAACTTTATTGCTTATTCAGCCTCCGTTGAGAATATTCTTCAATGTCTCCTATCACTACATCAGTCTGGACTTAAGCCATCATCTATTAAAGTTTATACCGCCACAATCTCCCACTATCGTGGCCAAGTGCTGGGTTCTTCGGTCTTTTCTCATACCCTCATACGTCAATTCCTTAAAGAATTGCAGAACCTGCAACCACCAGTTAGACCAGTTATTCCTACTTGGAGTCTCTCTGTTGTCCTGCAGGCACTCACTCGAGCTCCTTTCAAGCCCTTGGCGACTACTGACTTACACCTCTTGTCCTGGAAGACTGCCTTTCTTGTCGCTGTCACATCTGCTAGAAGGGCTAGTGAACTCTGTGCACTCCATGTAGACCCTCCTTATCTCAACTTCCATAAGGAGAAGGTCATCCTCTGTACCGATCTGATGTTTTTACCCAAGGTTGTGTCTCCTTTCCATATTAATCAAGACATCATTTTACCGGCTTTCTTCCCTGCTCCATCTACACTGATAGAGCGATAGAGCAGCTTCCTCTGCCTTTTCTGCTGGCAACCCAACTCAGGACATATGCAAGGCTGCCACCTGGACTATTCCTTGCACCTTTGCCAGACATTACCACCTTGATGTGCGTGCCAGGCATGATTGCTCCTTTGGTCGAGCAATCCTTTCTTCTGTTCTCCAGTGACGACACCGCCCGCCTCCAGGTTTGGTAAGCTTGCTAATCACCCATATGTATGATGCACAGAGGCCACGACGAAGAAAGGCAGGTTGCTCACCTGTAACTGTCGTTCTTTGAGTGGCCATCTGTGCATTCACACAACCCACCCGCCGGCCCTGCTCAGTGTCCATGACTGGGTTTATACGGTACCGTTTTACTTGATAGCAGTTCCGTGTTTCTCTCTACTGTTCAGCAGATTCTTTGCAATGTCTAACGCTCCTGATCGGTCTTCAGTAGACTGAGGAAATGGCGGGCACTCCACCTTCTTATACTGTAGTGGGGGAGGGGTGTGGAGTCCCTGCCAAAACTGTTAAGCTTTAAATCTTTCCGACCACAGGCACTGTGCAGGCGCAGCACCCATATGTGTGAATGCACAGATGGCCACTCGAAGAACAACAGTTACAGGTGAGCAACCTGCCTTTTTTTTCAGTCTCTGAAAATTACACAACTTTTTGATATTTTTTTTAATTTTCAGTTGTGCACATGCTTCCTCTTACAGCTATTTGAATGGGTAGTCCTGTCTGGTCAATTTGCTTCTCTCTTTCAGCTCTCATAGTGGAAAAGTAAAGTAGGGAACAGATTGGCAAGGCATATAGGCTAATATAAATTTCTACTTGTTCTAAAGAATGTAGAAATAATTGATAGGGAGTATGTGGAGAGGGAATTTGCTCAGCTTCAGTAATGGAGCAGTTAATGCAGGTGCACAAATTTACCCTTCATTTAGTTCTCAGCCATTATATTTGTGTACATCTCTTAAGGCTTTCTTTAAAAAAAAAACCTTTCAGGTAACTGAAGTATTAACTGCTCCAAAGATGAGTTGCAGGAAGTGGGACTGGGTTTTCCTGTTCTGGAGTAGCTAGAGAGTCAGGGAAGTGTTGAAAAGGTGGGAGATACCAAGGAGCGTCAGTTCAACCTGTAAAACTCAGAGAGTTGCATCACCAATGAGGAGATACCTCCTGTCCCCCATTTTTGGTGCTTCTGACTTGTGCTGCTGGGTTCCTCCTAACTTTTTATTTCTCCCTGGTTCTTTGCAATTGTACACAAGTTAGTTAGCAACCTTATTTTGTCAATATTCATATCAGATAGCTATAAGTGCACATAATGCAAAAAGAAAAAAGCAGTTGAATACAATTCCAGTTGTGCATTTTTAAAGCACCAGGAAAATCTGGGGAACAACTGATGGTTCTACTAAAGTTCTCCTTAGGCATTGGTGGAAGGGCAGTCACTGGCATGATTATAGAAAATGAGCGGTACTGGCTTTTTGACAACCCAAAATAAAAATAGTCTCCTGGGTTCAGATGACATAATAATCCATTGTGGACAAGAACAACATTACAACAAGCTGTCTTACCAGTATGCAAATAGAATTTCAGCATTGTTTATAAGATGCAAGTTATAATGCACGTCTGCTGAGTTTAATCAAGCAACTGTTATTCATGAGTGGAATCAGAGGTCTGGTGTTGAAGATTTAATATTTTGGAAGGATTCTCTCACTCAATCCAAGGAAAGTTGCACAGAAGCAATGATTAACAGATTAAACCCAATAAATAAATTATATGATTAAAAAACTCTAACCATAGAATATCTCTTTCTGTAGGACAGTGCAGGGCAATTTGTCATCCTCTTGATATTTTGGACTAAGTTCCCATAGCTTTAACCAGCATAGCTAATGGTGAAGGATGAGAGGAGTTGAAGGTCAAAATTTCTGGAGAACTGCAAATTTCCCAGACCTGCTTTAGAGAGAAACAATGGTACAGATATGCACAGGATTCCTGGGGCAGAGGTTTGTGCCGTTCACACATTAAGGTAGCCTTGGCCAACTTGGCACCTTCCAGGTTTGTGCATGCTGGCTGAAGTATGTGAAGAGTTGTAGGGCAACACATCTGGCAAGGCAAGGCTGCTTTCAATGTTAGTGTATGTCTAGTTATTCCCATGCATGGCAACTCTCAGCTGCTGATACTTTTTCTGGGAGATATGTGGAATTCCTATGCTTGATTTCCTGTGATAGAATTCTGGACACGAGTAGCTGGAGATGTGTCCCAAGGATGACTACAGAATCAAACAGTGGTCTTAGTCACCCTTCTCTTGCTTTTTTCCTAGGAGTAGAAAAACACTTTGCCTGAAATGTGAATGGAACAGAGTAAGCCTGTTGAAAATGGTTCTATTTTACAGTATGTTACCAGCTACCGGAACTGGTAACAGCATTTACCCCAGCATTTCTTAATGCATCCCTTATCTTCTAATGGTTCTTTTCACTACACGTGTACAAATGTATTAAGAGTTTTTAGATTTTTTTTCTTAACCCAATACTCCATTTTTGTTCTATGTTTTGCATCCACACTTACTCAAGTTAAAATTATTTGTGTAACTATTTTAAAAAAAGAGAATTAAAATGCACATTACAAAATTATATATTTTGAAACTTGGTATTTTAAAATACATAGTAGTCTGCGATTGTTGATGGCTCTTGGTATAAAAATCAATTTATAAAATAGAGGATAATTGCTAATATTTCTAAATATTTTAAAAATTTATATTAAAACTTACAGAAATATACAAATTCCTCCCTTCACAGCACAGCATGTATTTATATTGTGGTTATGAAACCTCTTAGCAGATAAACCCAAATAGACTTGGTTTAAAGCATGTACAAAACATCCTTTTTGACGTGACCCTGGCTGTTCAGAGAACAAGCAGCTTTCAAACAAATTCAATAAATAAATAATAGCACACACCAACTCTTCAGATTTGGTCAGTTTCTAAACTTGTGAACCTGGAATGCTTGACTGAACTCCAGAGAGGCCCACAGGTTCATGCAAAGCACTTAGGAGTACAGTTTGGATGGTCTATTTATTCCCCTTCCAGTAACAGCCCTTTCAGCCTAATGAAATGCTACACTCAAGGGGCACCCCCAGTCTTGGGGGAAGGAGCTGGGGACCTGCCCCCCTGCATTAGGGATGATGAAAAGCCCCTTTGTGCATGCAGTGCATGTGACAATTTGATTCTTTTCTATGTTTATTCGTTGGCTTTATATTCTAATCTTAATGGAATAATCAAGGCAGTTAGCAAAATAGATCCTAAAACATCAATAGTGCAATAAGTTTTACTCAAAAATACCATAGAACCAGCACAATGAGAACATGTGTCTATTTAGGTGGCAATCCTATGCCTTCTTACCTGGGAGTAAATTCCACTGAACACAGTAAGACTTACTTCTGAGCAGACATACATAGTATTGCAAGTTTTTAAGAGTGTTCTCCAGCATTTTATAGTTTGAGTTTGCTAGAACAATGCAGTTTGATATCTCAGGCATATCAGTGAATCCTCCCTAGTACATCCAAAGCTACAGTGTCAGCAATAACAGACTACCTAGACCACACTGTAATTCAGTTTTAGCATTTGTTAACATAAATTTATGTAACAAACCATAAATTATGACTAGATTACTGTAATTTTTACAAGTGCTATTTTGAGCAGTTGATGTGAAATGGGGTGCATGTTGCCACAGTATGGCAGAGTGCTTGTCATACTCACAACAATAAATGATCTGAATATTACTTCTGAAGTTCTTAAATGGTTTTGTATTGAACTTGATAACCAGCAACTGATGTAGTTGGGCTCAGGATATCACTTTAGAAATACAGATAAGGGTTTTTATGAAGATGGTAACACATTTAACTTTTTGCTTTAAAGTCTTCGAAATAACCTCAGGAATGCATTAAGAGCTGCATTAGTCAAAGCCCCATTCCTTTACCCTAGTATAAATAGACAGGGCTCCCACCATTTTCCCGCTTCGGTTTTGAGTGCCTCTGGACTTTACCTAGCTGCTCTCAACTTTACCTCATATTTCTTGCCTTTTTCTTCAAGACTTTACCTCATAAAATTTCCTTCTCACTTGCCTCTTACTCTCTTGTCTCACATTTTACCTGAAAACACATTTTTTCACTTTTCAATCCCTCCCCCCCACTCATTCCTTCTATCATCATCTTAAATCCATACACTTCTTTCATCTAACTTTCACGCTCAGTGGTGCTGAAGGTGGCCTTTATAAAGTGTGTGAGATGCAGAGTGAAAATGCCTTCAGATGGCCATTCACTGTGCCTTTTGCTTTAGTGCAGAGCATGGAGTAGACAGCTGCCCACACTGCCAGGCTTTCACTAGATAAGCCAGGAAGAACAGGGCACTCTGTCTAAAGATGGAAATAGGGACCCAGGGCTCTTGTGGGATGCAAAATGTTGAAGGGGACCCACAAGACCACGCATCAACATCTTGCACAGCCCTGACCATGGCCCAGGGGCTTCTTCAACTGCTCTGTCAGTGTCTGGAAAAAAATACAACACACTGGATAGTAAAAGGCCTAAAAAGAAGCAGAAGAGGCCTCACAAAATGTGGGGAGAGAAGGGGAAGCAAAAGCCCACAAAAAGGGTCGGATACCACTCTTCCCGTGCTGTGGAGTGAACCCATTTGCTTTACCCACCAGTAGCCCTGCCTACCATTTCAAAGCCAGCACCACAATTGGTCTGCACCACTCCAACTGCTCCAACACTAATCCAGGTAGAGCAACAATCCAAACTGACTGTAGTGCAATCTTTCTCTGAAAGAGAACTCATTATCCCAATCCCCAGCTGCTTGGATTACATCACCAACCTGCCTGGAGAGCACACCACACCAGGATGAAGATCTGTGGCAAACCTCTCCAACAGCCCTAGCATGCTACAAGACATTTCTTCCGTGCCATTATTGGCATCTAACTCTCTGGCAGTGGAATGTCTCAGACCGCTCACACCATCCTGGGACTGAGAAGCAGAATGGGGCCTGCTTCCCCCACCATTCCCAGAACAGTATTTCACAGGGTACCCCAATGAGCAGGTTCTGCCCATGATCACAGACCACAGCATGGTCAGAAGAACCATGGACAGTGGTACACCAAGCCCATTCAACAGCCTCCAATGATCTGTCACCATCCTGATGACAACAAGGTGCTGCCTCCACACAACCTGCACTGCTGCAACAACCTTCCCACCATTCATCACTTCATCCTTTTCCAAACCATCCAACTACCCCTCTGACCCTGATGAGATTCCCCTATATATGGGACTGGTCTCCACATCAACATATACCTGCTCAAGGCCCCAGCTCTCCCAGTATAGATTTGGGAGGTTTTTCATAACAGTTCCTTTGAATGGCAGTATCTCTCAGTATGCAATCACAGCAGCTGACTGAACCATTACTTGACCCTGTCTATTAACGTTATTCAGATGGAAAACACTATTCCAGAACTGTTCCATACTGTTCTTGCCAAGGTTCTCACAGGCTACAAAGGACCCTTGGCAGTCACCAACACAACCTCTTCTGACCTCTTATAGCCTGGAGAACTTGTACCGAGTCCAGGAGGGAGACATTCCTTTTCTCCTTCACCATCCAAGACCAAATTCAGTCATTCTGGCATCAGCTCAGGAACAGTCTCAGAGGGATCATTCCAGCCCAATGGATCATGAAGGTAGTCGCTTGGATGCTACAGCAAGGAGAATTTAAGCAGAGATGGGACTGGGCCTCTGCATTTCCAGTTACAAGGTGACCTTGGGGAGGTACCTGGTCTTCCTCTGGCAAAAATATGATGCCCTAGCAGAGTTTCCTCCAAAACAACTTCAGGAGCTCACTAGGGTATTTCAAGAGGAGTCACTCCACCTGTCCAAGAAGCAGATCAACACCACTTGTCACCATGTTGACTGTGACTCCAGTGTACTTGTCAGTGTGATGGTAATCCAGTGACATGCTTGGCTTCACGCAGATAACCTGCCACAGGAAACATGGTCCTGCACTGAAGGCATGCCTTTTGATGGGGAAGGGCTCTTCAATGTGAAGACCAATGAAATAGTGTTATTCAGAGGGTCAGAATAATGGTGAGATGGATAGGCTTTGGACCACCTCAGCCCCCAAGAGCATGCAAGTGGCCGTGGGGCCCCTTGGTGCCATTCCACCACTACCAGGGTTAGACTCCATTCCTTGCCTAGCTGCAACAGTTGGCTCGACAGTGTCGCCATGATACAACACACTTCCAGCAACCTACTAAATGGAGGCTAGAAGCAGAGAAAGTCCTGTTGACAGATTGCATGAATCATTCCACCACCCTTGATAGCATTCCAGTTTGAGAGCTGCCTCACAGTATCTAGCCACATGGAAAACCATCATATCAGAACAGCGTGTGCTTTCTGTAATACAACATGGCCATCTCATTGAGTTCAACACACTACCACCTCTCAAAGTGGTCCACACAACTCCTCCCTCTTCAGCCCTAATGAAGGAAGTCAATATCTTACTAGCAAAAGGAGAAATCCATCCTATCTACTGATCTGGTGTACAATATGGTTTTTATTCTAGATATTTCACTGTTGCGAAGAAAAATACCCAGTATTTCCAACATCTGCACCCAATATTAGACTTGCAAGGTGTCAACCACTTAATCCCAACCAAAAAAATCCAAATGGTTTCTTTCCAAAATATCCTCCCACTACTGTGTCAGAGGACTGGTTCATAACAATAGATTTTAAAGATGCATACTTGCATATTTTGATCCACCCAGAGTATTGTCACTTCCTAAGGTTTCAAGTTGGCACTACTACTTATGAATTCTGAGTCCTACCATTTAGACTGTCTACAGTCCCAAGGGTATTTACAAAATGTATGGCAGTAGTTTGTGCCCATTTAAGACTGCGAGATGCCCAAATTTTCCCCTACTTGGATGATTGGTTATTAGTTGCTCCATCTAGGGAAGACCTCTTCTGTTCCATCCAGAAGTCTTGCAATCTGTTACAAAGACTTGGACTCTATATTAACGAAATCTTAACTTCTCACAGACAATCCTATGCATTGGGTCATGACTGGACTCCTCTTGGACATGGGCTTACCTTCCACCAGACCGTATACGAAAGCTCTGCAAATCGGCCCACTGTCTCCACTCCAAACTGACAACTACCATCTAGAAAGTTCAACAAACACTTGGACATATGGCATCTACAGTGGTGGTTGTGCAATTTGCCCAACTCCATATGCACCCACTCCCATTGTGGTTTGTCTGTGCATACTGACCACAGCATAACGCATCTCACAAACAGTTAAAGCTCTCCCATTCTATCAAATTGACCCTGTCATGGTGGACCAATGAATGCAACTTGGTTCAGGGCTCCCCTTCATACCATCAAATCCATCCCTAATGATAACTACAGATGCATCACTCAAAGGATGGGAAGCTCAAACAATACAAAGCTCAGGGTCTATGGTCCAGACAGGAGCAAAAGAGATGCATCAATTACCTAGAGCTTATGGCAGTCTTCAAAGCTCTAATATCTTTCCAATGCCTACACTGCAACGATGTTTTATCTTAACAAACGGTGTGGCACCAAGTCCACTTTGCTTGTCTGCCTCAGAATCCAGAAATGGGACTGGTGCATTCAGAGGAATATAACACTGGTGGCCATTCACTTAGCAGGAACTCAAAATGCCACAGCGGGTGCCCTCAGAATACCATTCCAGATGCATGAATGGGAATTCAAATGAGACACTCTACAGAACATTTTCACAATATGGGGCCGACCATCCATAGACCTCTTTGCAACACAAGAGAACTCTGCATGCAGGGAGCTCTGCTCTAGGGCCAGGACTGGCCAGGGCTCTCTTGGTGATGCTTCCTTTGTTCCATAGATGAGAACAGTGTTGCATTGTAGACCTCATGTGTTCTACAGTTATAATGAGGATAATCATGAAAATCAGACAGGAAAACATAGAATGCATTTTAATAACTCCATGGTAGCCCAGACAAGCACGGTTCACAGGCTTCCCCCAGCTGTTGAATCCACTGTTCATCACATACTGTACCAGCTGGACATCATATTCCAGACTCGGCAAGATCCTACATCCAGATGTGAGAACACTACACCTGGAAAATCAATTGGTAATGAACTTTTCAGACTTAGACCCCAAATAAAGCTGGTGCTCCAAGCAGCTCTCCATCCAAACACAAGGGACTCATACTCTAGAAAATTGAATGCATTTAAAGCCTATGCTTAAGAACAGTCCTTCAATCTGTTCCAAGTGCCAAAATAGAAAATTCTGGCATTCTTTTATAGCCTCTACACTAAAGGACTAACACCTTCATCTATTACAGTACATTTGTCAGCAATCTCATCAGTCTGGGGCCCCATCAAATAACTCATCAGTCTTCTCCCATCCTTTCTCCAGGCAGTTCACATGAAATGGCTACACTATTGAAATCCACCCATTTGTTCCATTGTGCCTGGTTGGAGCCTATCTGTAGTGCTACAAGCACTAACAGAACCACATTTTGAACCACTCATCATGGTAGACTTTCAGCTCCTTTCCTGGAAGGTTGCATTTCTAGTAGCAATCACTTTGGCCCATTGAGAGAGCAACTTATGTGCTCTACGGATAGATCCACCATTACCTTCCATGTTAGTCATGAAGTCATGTCCAACCCATTGCGACCCCATGGACAACATTTTTCCAAGCCCAAGAGAAAAGGTGTGAGGAGGCAAACATG